CTTTTTCGGCGCGCTTCTTCTCCCGCAGCTTTTGTCGCACATACACAAAAAAGGTATCAAAACGTGCGGCTCGATGAGGACATTAGTGCTATGACTTTTCTAAGAATTTCGCCAAACGGTTTGCCGGTAAATCGCCAAAAACCGGTCCAAAAAATGAATGGGTGTGTATTGCGAGAACCTCCAACTGAAAAAAACTGCCAGAGTGCGTGACATCATCGCTAGAGTGTGGGGAGAGAGAAAAATTTGTCGAAAAATAAATTTGTAAACTGCTGTCACGGCCACAAATTTCACTCTACCGAAATAATTTATAGATAGAAACGTAGGTAAATCCGTTGGGGTCGCAGTGATACCACTGCTGAAGCTGTCAGACAAATAGTTTTGGCGGGAAACGCACTGATGCGCCAGCAATGCCCTCTCACGGCCCCATCTACTCCCATGTTAATTTTAGAGGACAAATCCTGAAAGACGCTCGTTGAACCTCTTCTCTCTCAATCTCCCCAGGTCACATTTTTTAACTTTAGCCACTGAAACTCGGCAGGGCTATAGTCAACAAGATGACGACGCTCACGGTGTTTTCGGTTTTTATTTCGGTCGTTCCTGGCCATCCTTTTGAGGGGATTCATTTTAAATGTTTTCTGTCTCTCTGAGGAGTTAGAGACAGAGAGAGAGCGTGCGCAGCTGCTGTGGGCTCCCCTGATTGCCATGACAACCAAAGCCTGCTCACTCACACACACACACACACACACACACACACACACACACACAGCTAGCTACAGAGAATGACAAGACATTAATAAGCTAGCGCTAGCTAGTTAAAGATAATTAGCAGGTGGCTAACAAGCAAACAATTTAAAGCTGAATGATTTTAATATTAACACAAAATAAGTTCAATACACCTTAAATATTTTACCCTACTATGAGCTGTTCCTTAATTTACATTAGCACTCCTTCAGGAGCATAATACAATTAAACACATTAACCAAAGCTAGCACTTAGCTAGCGATTAGCGCTTAGCTAGCAATTAGCGCTTAGCTAGCCATTAGCATGTATGTAGCGATTAGCAGTTAGCTAGCGATTAGCGGTTAGCTAGCGATTAGAGGTTAGCTAGCGATTAGCATGTAGCTAAGCACTAGCTTTGGTGTATGTGTTCATATGTGCTAGCTTTAGCTAGCTAGCTAAAGAGAATGACATGATATTAATATGCTAGCGCTAGCTAAGGAGGATGACAGGTTATCAATATGCTATAGGGAGGATTACATGGCATTAATAAGCTAGCGCTAGCTGGCTAGCTAAAGATAATTAGCAGGTGGCTAACAAACAAACAATTTAAAGCTGAATGATTTTAATATTAACACAAAATAAGAACAATACACCTTAAATATTTTACCCTACTATGAGCTGTTCCTTAATTTACATTAGCACTGCTTCAGGAGCATAATACAATTAAACACATTAACCAAAGCTAGCACTTAGCTAGCAATTAGCGGTTAGCTAGCGATTAGCGCAGAGCTAGCGATTAGCATGTAGACATGGTATTAACATATGGGCCAGAGCAAGGCACAATCAAAATTGCTTTAGGAATTTTCTAGTATTATTATTCTTCTTCCGTACGTTTTTCGGCGCGCTTCTTCTCCCGGAGCTTTGATCGCACGTACACAAAAAAGGTATCAGAACGTGCGGCTCGATGAGGACATTAGTGCTATGACTTTTCTAAGAATTTCGCCAAACGGTTTGCCGATAAATCGCCAAAAACCGGTCCAAAAAATGAATGGGTGTGTATTGCGAGAATGTTCAACTGCCAGAGTGCGTGACATCATCGCTAGAGTGTGGGGAGAGAGAAAAATTTGTCGAAAAATAAATTTGTAAACTGCTGTCATGGCCACAAATTTCACTCTACAGAAATAATTTATAGATAGAAACGTAGGTAAATTTGTTGGGGTCGCAGTGATACCACTGCTGAAGCTGTCAGACAAATAGTTTTGGCGGGAGACGCACTGATGCGCCAGCAACACCCTCTCACGGCCCCATCTACTCCCATGTTAATTTTAGAGGACAAATCTTGAAAGACGCTCGTTAAACCTCTTCTCTCTCAATCTCCCCAGGTCACATTTTTTAACTTTAACCACTGAAACTCGGCAGTGCTATAGTCAACAAGATGACGATGCTCACGGTGTTTTCGGTTTTCATTTCGGTCGTTCCTGGCCATGCTTTTGAGGGGATTCATTTTAAATGTTTTCTGTCTCTCTGAGGAGTTAGAGACAGAGAGAGAGCGTGCGCAGCTGCTGTGGGCTCCCCTGATTGCCATGACAACCAAAGCCTGCTCACACACACACACACACACACACACACACACATAGCTAGCTTCAGAGGAGCATTTAAGCTATTAATAAGCTAGCGCTAGCTGGCTAGCTAAGGATAATTAGCAGGTGGCTAACAAACAATTTAAAGCTGAATGATTTTAATATTAACACAAAATAAGAACAATACACCTTAAATATTTTACCCTACTATGAGCTGTTCCTTAATTTACATTAGCACTCCTTCAGGAGAATAATACAATTAAACACATTAACCAAAGCTAGCACTTAGCTAGCGATTAGCGATTATTTTAGCGCTAGCTTTGGTTAATGTGTTTATGTGTGCTAGCTCTAGCTAGCTAGCTAAAGAGAATTAGAAGGTAGAAGAAGGTATTAGAAGGCTAGCTTATTAATTAAAATGCTTTGCTTGCTAGAGAGGATAAGCTACTAATGTGCTAGCACTCGCTAGCTAGAGAGGACAAAGGATTACTTTTCTAATTAAACGTCACAAAAGACACTGAAAATCTTAATTAGCCATCTATTTCAACTTGTTACACCTGACACAAGTTATACAGATTTAGTAATAAAACATCAAGTTAGATTTATTTTGTGAGGAAGAACTCAGACTGTTGTAACTGCCTATGACTGCACAGTAAGAATAGTTTTCTTTCTTAATTATGTATTATTTATTAATATGAATATTGTTATTCATATTATTGAAAGCATTACTTATTATTGTTGTTATTATTATTACTATTATTATCATTATTATTATAACTACATACTTATTATTCCCACCATTGTGGTTATTACTTATTTAGTTACTTTAGCAATTTTAATAAAAGCATGACGCTTCCTGCATAATCCCAGGACAATATTATGCCAAGCTCCATTTAAGAAATACCATATATTAAAAATTATTTGCGCTTACATAAAAGCACATAACTGTAGAAACTAATTCGGCATCAATATAATACATGAATACCAACTTTTTGGCCGACTTTGTCGCATCAACTCGTTACCAGCCTCACTATTTCAGTTGGAGAAGACCGTGGCAATAGATGGAAAAAAGAAGATTTGTCATTAAAATACGTGGTTGTTAGTGGATCACGCGGACGCCGAATTAAACATGGGTGTCTCCCCTCATTGTACTGTAAACTACTCGGCAGTGTCAGTAATGTATGGGCCAGTGTCACGGGCCAGAGCAACGCACAATCAAAATTGCTTTAGGAATTTTCTAGTTATTTTGGTAAAGCTGTTTTCCAATCCAGCGTCTGGAGATTTCTAAAAGAAAGAAACCTTTTTTCTTTTATCTAATGAATCAGGTGTCAAATCAATTATGAAACCATTTTAAATAAACATAAGAATATTATTCCCATCATAATGTTTAATAACGTTTTCGCTCCAACATGACCTTTCGGTGCCGTCGAATTCCAGAAAACAAGTTTGTCGTTTCTCAAACTGGAGGCGTATTGATCGTATTGATGTGTCGTGCTTTGTGCAGGGTGATTTTCTTCAGGAATGTCAGCTGAAGAGTCGACACTCTCTCGTCACATTATCATTTCAATACCAGACTGAGATTTCTCTGATCTTCCTCCGTTTCTCCACTGGGGCCCAAATTTTCCTGTCAGTCAAATCTAAAGTGGATTTCTGGAGTGTCGCTCAACAGAAAAGCTCCTGCCGTCTAATCTCAGTGTTTTTATATATCCACCATTTTGGCAACTTTTCTTTCAGTCTGACGTCTTTCACATCTTTCTGCAGACTTCTGCATTCAGAAAGTGTCATTTGTGCCCATTGGTCACGGCAGATAACGGCAGATAATTAAACTGGAGAGAGACTCTGTATCGCGCTGCTTCATCTGACAAAGCCGCACTGGTCTTTAGAGGGGATTTTTTTTATTTTTTAACCATCAATAGACTTGAAATAAAGAGTTCTAATGCGTCTCATGTCGAGCTGGAAACGGGAGATAAAATCGGATTCAACCTCCCATCGTGGTGTCGCCCTGTAGCACCAACAGATGATTTCATAATGTGACAGATGAGGAACATATACAGCAGATATATTACAGGAAGTGATTTAAAGAGCAAGAGACACTGCAGGCGGTGAACAGGACAGCGTGTCACTTAAAATCCATCAAAACTCTTTCTGATACGTTGAATATAAACTTAACCTTTAATCTCTGTGTTTCTAAACTTTTTATTTGACTAATTTTCTATCATTTAGTAAACTGACACGTTTTATAGATATTTCACATAATATATTAAAAACTGCACCATTAACCCAAACAGTGAACTCAGTAACTGGAAGAATTTTGTGTAAAACGAGTGATTTTAATTAACAGAAGTAAGCCAAATGCTGAGATATAGGTCTACTGTGTATATTTTTTACACTTTCTAGCACACCTTAAAATCAAGAAGGCCTTGCGACCCCCCATGTGACCTAGTGGGGGTCCTGACTCCCAGGTTGGGAACAAAACATTGAATCTGCAGCCTAGAACAAAAGCAAAGATCGTTCTCTCAATGTATACTTAAATGTTTGACACAGCACCACCAAGTCCTCTAACGTAAATGAAAGAATACATTTATGGACAGTTGTTCCATAGCAAATCTTAGTGATGAAGACTGTGTCAAATGGCCGAAAGCCCCAGGAGAACACATTTAAATTCATCTGTAGGAGAGACAGAACAAACTACAGAAGTCGAGATAATGTTCACTTTTTATTAAACAGAGTAACTGATCCGAATGTAATCAACAAAATCAAAATCATTATAAACTGATGAAAACAATTAAAAATAACATTATTCAGACAAACAAGTGTAGCTCGGCACGTGTATCATTCATATCATACAAATGTGAACACGATTTTCCTGATTTTTGTTCAGTTTCAGAGTATAAAAAGTTCTGCTGCGATGCTTCGATTGTGTGTTCAATCCAGAAAACACGGAGGAGAAAATACAGAAGAAATGTGACGTCAACCAGAACTCAACCGAAGCAGCTGTTCAACTAACACGTGATCAGTGGAGCCGCAATGCGTTGAGATTCGTCGTTTAAACCACACGGTAGAGCAGAATCACATAAACTGTACGTTTCACAAACGTCCACAAAACCTCAGATTTAAAGGAAGATTCACCCCAATATGTTTAACAGCAGTTTCTTCCTGTGAATGAACTCGTAAACATGTTTTGTTCTGATCATTTCAGCAGCATCGAGAGCAAATGGGGGCTCTGAAAATGGGCTTTCCTCAAATAAAAGCCGGGTCTAAAATAACAGTCGGGGGCGCGGTTGCCCCGAACATTTAAAGGCGGGAAAACAAGGGTGGATAAACTCCTGGTGTCTGTTATATAATGTACAACTCAGCAAAATGTACATTTCCATTGCTTTATTTAATTAATTCAATATAATTATGTCATTTTTAACATTACGTTGTTCCAGATTACTTAACTGAAGTGTTATTGTCCTATTTTATCATCATGTGTAGTGTTGAGTTCGTATTAGCAGCATAATGCAGTAAATATTGTGGTGGAGAAAACACCAATTAGAGGTCTTCGCGGGTCCACTCGGCTCTGTTGAACTGAGACGGGTCCAAATTACGCTCGAGCCATTATGATACAGTGTGTCTAATACCAATGTGTATCGCTGATCCTGTGGTTCATCATAATGACTGTCGGCCAGTGATGCATTACTTAGTAATAAGCAGGGCTGCCCCCTAATAGTCCACTTAATCGTTAGTCAATGAGAAGAGAATGAAACAGAGGAAGAGGAGCCAGTTTGTAGCCAGTTAATTAGCCAGTTACTGTTAATGTTATCCATCATCCATTGTATCTTTCAGTCCACCAGGATTTGTCGAGGGCAGCCTTAGTAAAAAGTTACACGAATGTGATTTTTTTTTCCCCGGCAATTAGTAGTGTAAGGATTACTATTTGAAACTCAGTAATTATATTATAGTTGCCACATTTCTTAGATAAATTAGCATTTGTTCATTATCGTAACAGGAGTCTGATGGACTGTTTCTTGCGTTGTGGGATCCGTTAGCTCATATTTTCAAGCCCCAAACCTCAAACCATAGGTGGTTTCGTCAGGATGGCAGACAATTATTTCAGCGCCCAGGACACCTACGGAGCACGCCTTTCAGTACCATAGAAGCCATGAATGAAGCAATTTTGACGCCGGAGAATTCAGAAACGTGGTGCATTACTTTATAAGCAATCAAAACAAATATTTGTTAAATAATTATTGTTTTTATTGTTGTGAAAACAAGGAAATTTAAATGCTTTACAGATTTGTTATTTTTCAGGACTCAAGACATCGAGCTTGAAAATGGGACAATCCCGGTAGGTAAGCCTCTACTACCTCCCGCTAGCTCCATAGTCTTCTTTACTGCATGTTGCATCTGCTGTTAGTTAGCCATCGGTAGCTTTGCCTACATTTGGTTGGTAACCCTTAAGTCGGGGATCAGTCAGTTTTGGAGGAGTTGGAAGCTTCACTGCGAGCACTTCCCGAGGCTAAGCTAACGTAAACTGTTGTTTGTTTTAAACAGAAGTGTGGAGGCGTTGTAGATGTTTAAAGGCACCTTTGATGGAGCTGAGCTGAATAACCAAACTAATGTGACTAATTACTTCTGTTGAGTAATTAGTAAATTAATAATTACTATAAATTCTTTTATGAAACACCCCAAGTGAAGAAGTTCAAGTACCTCGGGGTTTTGTTCACGAGTGAGGGTAGAATGGAGCAAGAGATTGGCTGGAGAATCGAGGCAGCAGGGGCGGTACTGCATTGTTGTCACGAAAAGAGAGTTGAGCCGAAAGGCGAAACTCTCGATCTACCGGTCGATCTTTGTTCCTACCCTCACCTATGGTCATGAGAGATGGGTCGTGACCGAAAGAACGAGATCCCGGGTACAAGCGACCAAAATGGGTTTCCTCAGGAGGGTGGCCGGCGTCTCCCTTAGGGATAGGGTGAGAAGCTCGCGAGGGACTCGGAGTAGAGCCGCTTCTCCTTTGTGTCGAAAGGAGCCAGCTGAGATGGTTCGGGCATCTGATGAGGATGCATCCAGGGCGCCTCCCGAGAGAGGTGTTCCTGGCACGTCCAGCTGGGAGGAAGCCACGGGGCAGACCGAGGACCAGGTGGAGAGATTATATCTCAATACTGACCTGGGAACGCCTCGGGATCCCCCAGTCAGAGTTGGCCGATGTGGCCAGGAAAAGGGAAGTTTGGGGTCCTCTGCTGAACTTGCTACCCCCGCGACCCGACTCCGGATAAGCGGATGAAGATGAATGAATGAAACTTCTTTTATGAGTAATTAATAACATGTTTCAAGTAACATCCCCAAATCTGGTCAAAATATTCTAGTAAATCAGCAGCCAGTGTGAAATATTTATGCTATTAAAGGACATTTAGGATATCTTTGGGATTTCGGATATAGTCGGGATTCAACGGTGATGAAACTTTCCCACCAGTTAATAAACTTGTGACTTTAACATTTTACGTTGATGATTCAATATCCAGTCATCAAACACACGTGGAGCGGACGACTACTCGTTGTTACGTAAGTATTCAGAGAGAGTAATCCGTTAAAGTAATCCATCTAACGCTGATACTGATATCTACAGAGCGCGTTCAGCCTCACTTGATAGGAAACGAGGAAAACGCGGCAAGAGATTAGGGAGGAAACCCTCTGCTGACTAGCGTTTTGGCGGTGCTATTTGCAGACATACCAGCACACACACTCATAACAGCGAAGATAACTTGTGAAGGCCACGATGTAGAGCCTACGAACAACTATAAATCAACCTTTACGTCATGTGATGATTGTAGCGTCCTTTGTTCGACTGTATTGTGATAAAAGCTAATTATGGTGGAGGCGGTGAAAATGATTTTTCTTGCAGGAGGTGAAAACAGAACTTTATTAATTTATTTGTGTTCATTATTTCTATTTATTTATGTCTTTGAAGCATTTAAACTGATTAAATTCATTTTTGGACTTAGTTTCTGTGTTAACTGATGGTTTGTCCAGCTCGGGCTTTAGGGAAGTAACTGATTACATGTAACTGAGTTATGTAATCAGGATACCAAAACTGTAAACCATTAGAGTTACAGAAAAAGATGTAATCAGATTACAGTTACATTTAGTAAAATGGGGATTATTTCGCAGGATTACAATTCTTTAAAAATACCGGAGCAGAGGACACGTTGATGCTAAACATCTTTCCATTTCCTTTCATTGTTACAGAACACATTTACATCAATACTTCTTACTGATATTGATTTCTCTTATCTTAATTTAGTGTTGACGTAGGCTAATCCATATGACGTAATAGGAAGTAATCAAGTTACTTTAATATTGTGATACATGGATTAGGTTACTGCAGGTTGTGGTCTTCTCTCTCTGTTTGGGTCTGTAAAGGTTGACTGGTTTACTGTTCAGGTCGGGTATATTTCAGATCGGGTCCAACGTTTTTTGGACCTCTGAAGACCTCTAACGACATCACATCTGCGTACGTTTGCCACAAAATGTACAAACAAAAGGCAGGAAACTCTTCACACTGAAACTGTATCATTGTGTCTGTGTGTGGAAATGCTTTAAAATGTTTACATGCTCACACTTCCTCAACCCTCTCGGATACGAAAGTGGCATTTAGTGTGAAAGTGATGAAGCTTTCAGTGTTACTGCCCAACTGGAGGAGGAGGAGAGGAGGTGAAGGGACGGATTGAGGAGAAGAAGAAGAGTGGGTGCAATAATTAAGATTTTTTTAAAAACGAGTCCTTCCTCTGTTCCCGGGTTATTATTGCAGAAGAGGAGGAGTTTAGTTTAAGACAGCGCTCGTAGAAAAAGTAGAGTTTCAGTGTTTGTAGGTTGTTGAGCCCAGTTTCTCGTCTTGCAGGAGCATGTCGACTCAGCCCAGGTGTTGTGTTCAGGTGCTCTCTGTTCATCAGAGTTCTGTTGTATATAGAGTCCAGTCACGGGGAACATGAACGCTCCTCCTGCCTGCCAAAACCTCCATCTTTTCTCCTTCGTTATTGAGATCTTATTCTCTTTCCCTCCTTATTTTCTAACTCATTTTCTTCTCTTTTTATGTCCTTTCTCCTCCAATGTCCTCCTCTTTCTCCTTCTTTCTTTATTTTCTAACCCTAACCCTTTTTCTTTCCCTCCATTTCTCCATACTCAAATCTCCTCTCTTCTCTTCTCCCTCCACCACCTTCCTTCTCTTTTCTTTCCTTACAGACAGACAGGCAGGCGGGAGCGCTCCATCCAATCAGGAGTCTCCGTTTTGATCACATGCCCGTGGAGGACAGTCCCAGCCCGGCAGCTTTGCCCATGCAGGGTAAACCTTGAGCTCCGGCTTTCGGGAAATCATGCGCCACCACACGGCCGTTCTCGCCTCCGAGACCCGACGCTCCTCCTCCATAACCACCGCCTGCCGCGCCTCCTCCTCCGCCCGCCATCCCGCCGAGGCTGGTGCTCATCATGGCGGCATCGATGAGCTCCTGCAACACAGAAACAGAGAAGAAGGAGCCTGTTTAAAACTTAAAGACACAAATCTCTGAGGGGGCTGAGGAGTAAAAATCAATTCAGTAGAAAGAAACATGTCACAATGAAGCTTTGTTTGTATCTTTATTTAGCATTTGAGTCGGCTTCAATCTGTCTCCGTCATAAATAAACCTTCATCCCTCTCGACTAATCCAGCATCGACAAATCAGAAATGTCTTTTCAGATCATCTTGCTTGGTGGATTGAAAATCATTTGAACACATCACAATAAGAAACTGTTGGACACAAACAAACAACGTCCAACAAACTGGATATATTTTACCAACTGTCTTGTTGAAACAGAAATCAGAGAGCTGTTTGCTTCCTCATATTTACGCGTTGGATTTTGATATAAAAATACAAAGAAATTGAGTTTTTGTGAATGTTTTGTCATAAATTGTTAAATAGGGGAACACAATAAGGGTAAAAATTTAACATTTTTTATTTCACCTGGACTTTAACATCGTTCAGCTGTGATATCAGTTGTGTATGTGGACACCTCTAGTGTGCAGCTATGAGGACACGTAAGGTTGTTCAGTGTCTTTGTTGTGTTTCACTACTCAGTCCCACCAGGAGGTTGTGAAGGCAACAACATATGTTTACATTTTGGCAGCATTAAAAGTTAGCCAAGTTAGCTGTTAGCAGCTCCTGTTGGCAGCGTACTACAGGATGTACAGACTAATATCACTGGATTACTCTGATACTGAAGGAAACTTAAAAACATGCTGATTGTAAGGCAGGTTCTGCAGTTATACGGAGCCTCTTGTTTCCTGTCATTTCTAAGCAGACTGTTGACATTTATTCTCAGTGGACATCAGAGATAATAACATCCTCAGGGAGTGTAAGTCACTCTGGATCTAAAACTTTGTGTCCAGATTTGACTGCGTTACGACTCGGAGAAGAGGTGCGATTTTGCCGCAGTTGGGTTGAATTACATTAATCACCGCAATAAGCCACAATAACTAACTTCCTGTTGTTTAAAGAACACCTGCACACACCTGTTCTTCTTTGGAAAGTAAGTAAGTATAAATCAGTGTGTGTGTATTGGGTCATCAGCAGCAGTAATAACAGTAAAAGTTGTTTTGGAGCAGCAGAGTAAAGCTCTCTCTGCGTCTCCTCAGTGAAACTAATGATGTGGATCCGGAGTTAATATCCTGTATCAGGCCTCTGAGGCACTCACACTCCCTCGCTGTTCGCCGCCTGGCATCAACAGTCATCAGGAAGATTGGTACAAATAAATCCCAGGTTTATTCATTTAGTGAGCAGCTCTAACACTCAGAGCAACACCTCCGAGCCGGCGCCCCCACGTCTGAGCAGCAGAGTCAAACACTCATCTCCCTCCTGCCTTCACCTCCGCGCTAACAGCTAACAATCCACCTGCACACACTGTGAACACTGGGCCGCACTGTATCTCTCTCACTTTAAAGGAGGGTTTTATTGTCATAGCAAGTCTACATGTGCTGTCACAACACAACAGTACAGCATCTGTCTCTGCACAAAGACTATTAATGCAGTTGCCTGCAGGCAGAACAGCCACCTGCTGAAACATCAGACAGCACATTTGTAACTTGGTGTCTTGAATAAATTATTTTTTTCTCTTTCACAATAAATAAATAGTGGGGAGTACTTACGACACCCTTATTTCAAACGTAACATACTGCAGTCCCTGTTGGACGATTGGACAAACGTAACAGTGATTGACTGAGTCCATTGCCGGTTGTTTTTTTGGCTGATTTTTGTCATTATGCTAATGTGATGCTCTGCCTCTGGAGAATAAGGGTGCTCCGATTGATCGGTCACCGATTGTAATCAGCTGATATTCACTCTAATTAGTTTGATCGATCATCTGGAGCTGTTGGAGCCAATTTTTTGAATTTATGGAGTGTTTAAGTATCAGAAGAGTCATTTTGAATTTATTATTAAAATTAATTTATTATCTGTTCTGATTAACTCAGACTTCGATCGGCTGTGTAAAGAGGAAGAGGTGTGACTGAAGAGGTCTTTTGTCTGAACAGACAGGTTGTTGAAAGCTAGATAGGATTGACACAGTCTTTGACCTCATGTTTAGTTTGAAAACGTTTTTTGTTGTTTGTTTTCTTTTAAAATAATAATCGACAACGGAAAACAGAAACGAGCGACTCAAGCCTTTTTTTGGATCTTTACTAACATGTGAGTCAAGAGTCAAACCCTGTAACCTGGCACAGCGGTTTGAATAGAAAAAGGACAAGACAGACGCATTTATTCTATTCCACAGGAATAGAAGTTATGTGGTCGGGCCGCTGCTATAATAACAGTCAGAGACCTGTTATAGTAATGTGCAGGAAACAGAGAGATGTTCTCGGAGCAGATAAATCAACAGTTTAGTTTTCGATATGCAACGTCATTAACGAGCCTCCTCGTTAATATGCGAGCTGAGTATTTCCCAGCAGCGGCTCCTGGAATCGCAGGTGAAAACATTCAAAAAGTTGTGTTTCTTGGGCGACTTTATGAAACTTACTGCTGACCAACAAAGGAACAAAGCAGACACATTCCCTGACTGGAGCGCCCTTACCTGAAAGTGTACGTAAACGTCTTTTTGGGCCAGTGTGACGGACGCCGTCGCTGTAATTACACGGTTCGGCCAGTATCTCTTATTGACTTCAAAGCGCCACCTCAAACCAACTTTACATCTCACTGAGGAGGCTCTGAGATGAACCATCAGTGACTTTGAACAACTGAAACATCAATCAGTAATAAACCGATTTGACACCAGAACAGCGTCACCGTTAAAAAAGATTCACTTCTTCTCCAGAAGAGAACATAGTGCAATATTTATGACCGAGGATCAATAATGTATTAGAAGAGGATGTATCATGGTATATTTCTGCATCAACTATAAGTCCCATGTGTGCTGCAGAGCTCCTCCACCATACATCCACCTCTGCATCAGGTAACCGCAGTGTAACCCCTCCATCTGCTCCGACTGATGAAATCCTCCACACATGTTGTGTCACCGCTGCCTTCAGCTTTTTTTGTTCGGTCTTTGTGCTCAGACGCACATGTGAGGAGAATAACAAAAGTCCGGCAGAGATGAGAGCAACACGCTGGTGGAGAAAATGGCTCTAATGACTTGTTTGTTCCTTCTGAGCAGCCCATCAAAGTCTGAGTAAAAACCAGCTCGGTCTGTAATGAGGCGACCGCAGTTTCATCACATACTGCCAGCGATAAAGAGGGGCTTGAGAGCAGAGTGTCAGATAAGTCGAGTTCAGCTGATGCACTTTCAGATGGCAGTAATATGTTAGTGCTCCCGCCCTGCGGCTCTAGAGAGTCCAGCAGAGGTCCTTGAGTAGGTCGCATGGGGTCCGCAGCAAAAGGAGGAACATGATGTTTGAACTTTTATCACATCTTTTGGAAGTACAAGGAAAGAAATAGAGGTGGCGGTTTTTATTGTAATCTATAGTGATCCTAGTTTGATCATTGATAGAAAATAAAAAGAAAAAAGATTCTTTTAGACAAATACTCATCTACTGTGGGGAAGCCCTGTCCAGCTAGAGCTACTTTACAGACAAGGACCACAATAAGCAAGAAATCAAACTGTGAACTCTGTGTTCATTAAAACTCTGCGTCAGTTAGAAGAAGAGCGTTGTTATTGTTCGCTCGTCAAACGGACTCACCTTCATTCTTCTGGACTCGATCCGGGACTTGTAGCAGAACTCGACCAGAGCCACGAGCATTGCCAGCCCCAGCCCACCGATCAGGATGTAAAACACTCCCGCCACGTTGCTCAGACTGAGCGCGCTCGTCTTGTCCTGTCAGCGCAAAGAGGCGGAGTCAGCGGCAACCAATCATGGTGCAGATATGTAATAATAATAATATATAATTATAATTCTACTGTAAATTAAAACATTAAAGCTAAACACAACAAATATCTTTCTAGCTAACAAGACACTTTTTCAATTTTCAAAGGCTGTGATAAAGAGGCAACACGTGACTTTAAAATGAAACATGAATTCTGAAAGAGGAACTCCACTCATTTTACATATAATCAATAATTACTTTATTCGTAATCCTGCTGGTGAAAACAAAAACTAAGTTTTTGGCTCAACAAAAAAAATGTACGCAACAGTTTGCCTCAATCTCTTTGGATTAAATTACATTCAACAAATGTACTACATTGAGTTCAGGGGAATTAGCTTTTCCTCTACAATCAAAGGTATTTTTAATTACCGCTTAATAATTGGTAACATAAAAACAAATTTTTAGTTTGGATTAGGCAACTCATAAAAATGTACTTGTCCCAACTAGTTTTTCCACGTTGTTTATGTCAATACAACTCATCAAAATAATGTTTGCAACTTTAAAGGTTTATCTTTTTACGGTGGAAAATCCGAAGGTACAAACTTGTGTACATAATAATGTATGTGGATAACTGCTGCTAAGTGCAAGCTGAAGCTAAAAATGATAAATTAACTAGATTAAAGTCTCTGCAAGTAACTTCCATTTGTATTTATTTTTATCATCTACGTCTGTGAATTAAGGAAACCAGAGTTGGTGATTGTTGGAAAGACTAACAGAGACGGTTTGGGTGAGTTTTATTTTGTTTCTGTTTGTGTTTTATCTGCTTTGGTAAAATTACTGGTTTTGTTAATGGAGTCTGGTGGGCCGTAGTGCCCATAGTTTTGGTCTGAGATGCTGGTGCGACCTCTAGTGGCAAGTCCCCCTTTAAAACTCATCTCCTACTGAGGGTAAAATGACCTTCTTCATTGCCTCAAGTCACAGCCTTTGACAATCAACCTTTATATATCTGTCACATGCAACGTCATGCTCAGAAAAACAAACAAACTAAAAACTAAACTCTATAGACGGGTTGCTTGTGTTAATTCACCGGCTTATTAATCTACCTTCTCTACACAACTTATATTTAGTATAAATAAAAGAAGAGTGATATCTGTTCTTCACAGTGCGATATCACTTCAGTTCAGTCCGTACTAACGAACACAAATGTGTTATCACACCTTAAAAAACATTTCTTTAAGAAAAATCTGATTTGATTGGTTGTTGAGAACTTCTGCGTGTTCTTCTGTCACATGCATCACTTGGTTTTTGATGGGCGTGACTTAGCGTTCTCATCCAATAGCATGCAGCCTGTTAAAAAAAAATAAAACGAATAGGAGGAAACAGCACTTAAAGTGGGCGGGGCCTCTCTTCAACAGGAAGTGTTGTGAAGCTGGGGGAGAGCCTATCACAGGGCTTTCCTCTCCAAACTGTCATGTTCACATCAGCCAATCAGCTTCTCTGAAAATTATACTAAAAAGACACTTTAAAGTCAGACTGAAATGAACGTTAACTATTACTCTTTTTAAAAAGAAATATTTGTAATATTAGTGTTGACTAAAAATCCCTTTGAGAACACAAAGTAAAAGTAAAGATGATTTCTTTTGTGTAATTTGTCCTCATTGATGTTATTTTAATACACATAAAGAACTAAACACAATGCTGCAGCAATATAAAATACTGATTGAGGATGCTAACTGCTAACCAAGGCTAAAGGCCTGGTTGCACCAGCATTTAAAACTGGTTATTGCTCCTGTGGACGACGTAAATCCCGACAGATTTTACATGCAGAGTAACTAGCAAGTTAATTAAAATTGGTATTTAGCTAGCTGCTAACAGAAAATGTGCCTATATATATATATATACAGTATATATATGTTGCTTTTATTAACCATCTTCTAAATGTATATAGCATATCTTAGTACAGGAAATGGGAAGTTGACCGACGCTCGCTCGACTGTGATTGGAGCACAGAACAAAAAGGGGCGGGGTTTAGGAAGGGTAAATTGGTAGTGACTGGCACTAACATGTTCCTGGCTTGTTTGCATTTTAGTATTTTATTTGTTACTATGAAAGCAGTTGTGGACAGCAATACATGGAAACTTCAAGTTCAACTATTAAAAGTGTACATTGCATTTTGATATCTGAGTTGACCTTACAGTAAATCTACTTTGACTTCAGGTGATTTATAATCACAGTCAAGGCTTTTCTGAATTCTTTGGAAAACCTTTAAAATTTAATTCCAAATGTAGTTTAAAATGCATTCTGACAGACGTAAACTGTCTTCATGAGATCAAATATTAGAGATCTCACTATAGTTTACTACACTTGTTGACACTTAAGGTGGCCTTTACGTTTCTCTGTTGTGTACAGGAATACGTTGGGATTGTCACCAAACCTTTTTAAAGTGAGTAAAGCTGATCAGTGCCCTGCTGCACGTCGTATAGAGCAGGTAGACGTAAAGTCCAATTTGTGGTGCAACCTGATTTCTCCCTGAGAGGCTTCTTGTGTGAATGTTCTCAATAAATGGCGGCAGAGTGTGAATGGAATAAATTAGGCAGACAAAGACGCATTAGTTTGTCAATTTTCTGATGTCTCTGTGTGGTTACCTAAGTTCTCTCTACTGTTTGTCTCGCTGCTGCATTTTCAGTCTGACGTTAAGTCTTTTCTCCTCGCTGCTGCACTGATGACAGACTGATGAACGTTTTCTCCCATTTGTTATTCGCGGTCTGTTGCACAGCGAGTTCAGAGGAAACAGGAGGTACATGACAGATTGGAGACAAAAACATCAGTGTGTGTGTGTGTGTGTGTGAGAGAGAGAGGGGAGGAAGAGGAGGGGTGGTAAAGCTGTGGTCAGTAGCTTCAATTTCATCAACTGTTGGTTAGCAGCCATAAACAGAGAGAGAGGGAGGTAGAGAGACAGCAGAGAGAGAGAGAGAGAGAGAGAGAGAGAGAGAGAAACAGTAAAAATATATTTGCAGTTTTGAAAATCTGACTTTTTACATCTAATGTGAATGTAAAAAAAATCTGGCTTTAATCTGGGGCTTCTCCTCCAGGCCAGAATATCTCCTCCTCTCTTTAAAAAGTAAAACAAAAAAACAAAAAAAATCGCCTGAAAACGTCTTTTTCAAACCCACAAAGATAGTCTAAAAATATAAATGTAAATGTGGCAGCCAGAGGCAGCGAGGATTTGTGATTAAAAGTGATGTAAAAAGTCACATTTTTCATTCCCTGGTCCGTCTGTCTGTCTGCGGCTGCTGACCACAGAGTATATTCTGGAGATCAGAAGGACAGCTGAGCAGAGAAAAGCCTCTGAAGAAATCTACTGATCTGGAGACATGAAAACCCCTTATCTCCAAAAAAAAGTCTGCTTTGTCAGAGTCTGGCTAAAGCCTGGCTCATTTTCTCATCAATTTGCATAAATTCATCTGACTAACGCAGAGTTTGTAACAAGTTTTGTGGTGACTGAGTTCATAAATTATACTCAGCACTTTGGAGTCATGAGGTTTTCACATGCTGTCAGAATACTTTAAATGTTTTAATTTGATTTATCCTCCAGTTCGGCAGAATGAGCAGCAGTGTTACACTCTAAAAACAAAAAGTTATTTTCACCATAAAATAAGTTCACTGATCGTAATAAGCAGATTTTTGTGCCGGCAGGTTCTGAATTTTAAACTTTAAAGAAAATTTTGACATTTCGGTTTATAAACTTTGTTTCTTTGCCGATATTTACAATAAAAGATCGACACCACTCTCATGTCTGTACAGCCAATGTGATGCTACAGCCAAGAGGCAGTTAGCTTAGCTTAGCATAAAGACTGGGGAAATGTATGAAAAGCTAGCCTGGCAAATTCCACCTACAAACACTTATCTTGTTTAATCAGCACCAAAGTTGTGTCGTTGCAGTCCAGTCTGCCACCAAAGCCTGTAATAGACCCACCGATCCACTTTAGGATACTGTGTCAATGTCTCGTTTTGCCTCACCTAGATGTGAAAGTACACACTTGTATGAAGGTGCTGTACAAACACAGGACTCAACCAGGAAACCGCCGTTCGAGTCCTGTGTGAAACCAAAAGTCAGCGTTTATCAGGTACAATGGTTTCCTAAACCTAAACCCAATCTGCCACGGTGTGTGTATTATACACATTGGTGTGATACCGGGTCGTTTTCAGGGAAATCACTGCTCCTGGCCAAGTCCATCAGATAACCCTTGGATAACCACAACTTGATGTTTTTCCACTTTGGATTTAATTGAATGGGGATGTTTCTTTCCTTTGGACAGAGCCAGGCTACCTGTTTCCCCTTGTTTCCAGTCTTTATGCTAAGCTAAGCTAAGCTAACCGACTGCTAGCTGTGACCTTATATATAACGGACATATGAGAGTGCTATCAACCTTAACATCTAACTCTCTTTTATTCCATATTCTGAATGTGTGTCTACATTGGCCTTAAAACTAAATGCAGTTTGGTGAAACTGTATTTTTACAAAATTTACAGATTGTGACAGCACAACAAATTCAGTTCTTCATCACATCATCAAATATAGATAAATGTTTCTGACAGACACCATCAGGGACTGAGGAAAAACAAACAGATTTAACCAGACCTGAAGCAGAGACCTTTATTGTTTGCTTTTCCTCAGTACCCGGGTGTCAGACCTCAAAACGGTGACTCTCAATTTGAAGAACTGAGGTTGAAATTTGTTGTAGCACCGCAATCTTCAATAATCCATTAACAGCAAGCTGCGAAAGCTGTGTCTCTCTGCCCTGTCTGGTTGTAAGTTTAAAGTCTGTCCCTATTCCGACACCCAGAATCACTGATGGTCAGAATATGGTCAGGAACACACCAACCGGTGGTGTCACAGTGTACTTACTCACCCTGGAGTACACTTCTACATCACAGTAAATCACCAGAGGTCAGTAAAAACAAGGTTTTCAACTGCTGTTAAAGGCCCTAATAACCAGCTTCTTCCTCTGATTGGGCACCAAATTAAAGTTCAGTACCTGGTGGCAAAAATATCTGTCCAGATGGAGGAACCATTAAAATGCATTTACAGGGTCCATCAGGGTCCTAGACTGTGTAATGGGCAACCAATATTCAAAAAACTATCTAGGTAATTACTTTAAATAGTAGAACAAAAAGATTCAAATTAGCATGAAATTAACATAAAGTTTCAATCATAATTAGACAATACCTTCAAAAAACTTTTCCTTTTCAGAGTGTATCTGCTAAAGTTTGAAGTTTTGGGGGTCTGATGGGGGTAAGAGGGTTTGGGTGAGGGTAAACCAACACATGACCTCGGGACCAGGCCGAGCGACCTCAAGAACTGACCTTTCTGCCGGAGTCCTTGTGTCCACACTCCCCTTTGTCATACCACCACTTGTTTTTCAACTTGTCTAAGACGGCTTGTTCATTGAGCTTCAGTACTGCTAGGTTTACTGGGATTCTTCAAAGAACCATGAGAGGAAGGGAGGGGGAGGGGGGTTGGGAATAACATAAATAACATTATGCACCTCCATGTTATCTTATGTTATTGTTCAGCTGCACAGCAACTGGGCTGCGGTGGCTGCAGCAGCAGCACCAGCAGCCATTTTAGCAAAACTGGCATTTGCAGTAAAGATGCTTTGGTACGCTACAGAGAACACCTCAACAACAACAGAAAGAAAAATAAAAAATCAACTAAAAAACAGGCACAATCACACATAAAACTGTTTTGGAAAATGTCAGCGTCAAAGTGATATGCATTAATACTCCATCTAGCTTGCTTTGGCCTGACTCCCTACGTGCGAGATGTGTATTACTATATCACTTTGGGTAACCGGCAAGAGCTGAAAACACTCCGGGATCTTTGGATTTACTGAGCGAAACACTCCTGTCCAAAAACCAGAAAACATAAACTATTTTGCGGTGGTTTGAAAGATTGCTGCAATTTAACTTTTTTGGGGGGAGGGAGATAGAGTCACCAGTGTCCTTAAACATGGAACTGATACCAGAGGTAAGATGACCAGAGGGGGTATTTTTGCTGAGCGAGCTTACTAAAGAATCTACGTTCGTGAACTAACGGTTTATTTCGACCAGTTGGTTATTGACGGAAAGACTAACAGTGTGAGTTCTGTGAGTATTATTTTGTTTCTGTCTCATTGTTTTTTAAGTTTGAATTTTGTATAACTAGTCTGTCCAAAATGGGGTAAGCAGTTTAAGCTAGCCTGGTGCCCGTTTTTGTTAAAGCGTCGTGTTTCACAAATGTTTGCGGTTAAGCCGGTCAAGTCGATTTACAGAAATAGCTCCTAAATAATAACATTTCTTAAATATCGACATAAGTTACATTGATGGGATAGATAACGTATTTTTATAATGTTTATTTTATGATGTTTAAAACAAATTAAATCATAGATCCACCCTGATAATACCCCTAGAATACAAACTACATCATGATCTCTGCTCCGAAGGTTACAGTAAAGTCCTGTTTTGTAATGAAAGTGTTCTAAGTGTGTTTTATAAAATACCCCCTGGATCAGAAGCTGTGAAGTCAGAAATTTTCCTCAACAAGGCCTGAGAGTGAATTATTTTCATGGATCAAATCACCAGAGGTGGAACCAGTGTTATTACTACTGTGAAAGACACCAAACTGTAGCTTCCTGTAAAGTTTCAGCAGTGCCATCCGGAGTGTTTTACGCTTTATATTTAAGTTGTGGGTTGTTGCCGGTTACCCCCTTGTACCATTGCCTGTCGTTACCCGTTTGGGGTTACGGTGATCTGACCTTGGAGTCCCCTCCCCCGGTGCCGCACTCTCCCTTGTCATACCACCATCTGTTTTTCAATTTGTCCAACAGGCCCTGCTCGTTCAGTTTTAATACTGCCAAGTTAACAGGGTTTCTACGGGGAGGATAGTAATAAGGGATAAAAGGGAACTAGATGTTAATGAGCAGAGGACCGCCATAGTGAAGATAGCAACATTATTACATCTGCTTATGACAGGCATGATATTATTAGTGTAGTCATAAAATGAATGGTTCTTTAAAGGACAGGTTCACTGCTCTTCAACCAAGACCTTGTTTAAAATGTTGTTTCCCATCATTTAAAGTTCTGAATATCACATCCACAGAGCTTTAGTGTGAAAGACTCTGCTGCAGCCATTCACAGGGCTTAAACACTGTTTAATGCCGCCATCATTCAGGCATTAAATGAATATAACAAATCTTTTCAAAATCTCAAAGCTTACAGACACTACTTGCATATGTTCTATAAAAGCAGTCCCAAATCATGCTTCCTTTCTTGAGTCCAAATTCTGGTTTCTGTGTAATGATAGAATATTTAAAAAATGATCAGACTGTGACTGTGAGCCGCAAGCTTTCCAATTTCCAAAAAGGAGACCAATCATCATTGAAAGAAACAGTGGCCTTATGACAGTACCAATGTATGATTACAATACATGGCTTACAGGTGAGCATCTAGGGGTTGAGTGAAGTGCCTGTTAGCCAAGGAGTTGGTTCAAGGAAGATACGGAGCTGGCAGTGATAGCTGGCTCTTGGATGGTCATCTTTCAATGGGTGAAAGAACTGTTGCGTGAAGTTGAAAGGTATCAAGTAGATAAGTTTGACTCCCTTTCAGTCATTTCAACATTGGGTTGGACTAAACTTTTGATTGACCTTGACCCAAAATGCTCTGGCCCAATGACCTTTGCCTGCTCTTTTCAATATAGGAGAGGATTGTTGACCTCGACTTGATACCATTCCCTATACACTTAAGAGCAGTGTCCTCAATCCAGGATCAGGATCTTATTCATGAGTGGTCGCTCTGGGTACTGACAAAACCTTTTGATTTAAAATTTGATCTTGGTTCTAACCAACTAAAGAAATTAGATTGTGGATAAAAAGATGAAGTGTGTATGCATGATGGTCACTCTGTGATAAAATGAGGACTTCTACAATTCACAAGGACATCCCAATTGAACCACAGCTACTTAACAATCAGAGGAGCCATTTCAGAGGAAGCCTTCAAACAATCTCTCTTGGAAGTCTGTCTCCCCAAGCACAATAGACTGGGAGGACATTCACGGGTACAACTTGGACCTGCTGGGGAGACTACAGCTCCAAACTGACCTAGGATCACGTGGGGATCCTCCAGGTAGAGCTGCTGGGGAAAGAAAACACTGGGGCTACTCATCTAGGCTCTGACATTTGAATGGATTGAGGGATGGCAAAATTTCTCTACTAGCTTGTGTTGAGTCCTGTGACCAGCTGTAGCAGAAGGTTCATTTCTCATAAGGTAAACAACATTTTAGTATGGTCTGGGTTGAAAAACAGCAAATGCATCCTATTACTGACTACTGCGCAGCACACCTCGACTTGCATTAATTTCCATTCATTACCTGGTAAATAAAGGAAGAACAACAGTCAATTGTTTGGATGTAAATACCATGTGAAATATTAAATAACATGTTGACATAAGTTGAGGTTTACTGAGGGGAAGCAGGGGCCAAAACGTCTTTCACTCTTTCCTACTATTTCACATTTCCCTTCAAAAAACACAAATACCCACAAATTGCCTGTTGTTCCCCTTCACATACCAGTGATGATCAAAGCTATTGATTAGCAGAAGGAAGCAGTGATGTTTGGCAAAGAAACATGAATCAATAAAATCATCAGTGGTCCAGTAGAACTTCAGTTTGAACAATTGGACAATGACAATCAATGTAATGACAGCGAAAGAAGAGTTTTGTTCCAAAGTGCATTATATATGCAAAAATATACAATAAAGATAAATACATTTTGAATAAGTCCAGCTGAAATGTGCACAAATTCAAAGATTATGTGAATCGAACTAAATTTTCAAGCAGAAATCTCAATTTGTAATTTTAAGAAAATCAAGCAAAAATGTTCCTGCTATATATGTAAGTGAAGTATATGTTAATACAATTGTGCCATCTTAAAACTAAATTACATTGTGTTTCTTAATTATCACCATCAGATCAGTCGGTTCAGCATTAAAGCCATTTGCTGTCAATCAATGGCCAATAAATGGGTTTACATTTGGCCTGATTATCTCACTTAGACCAACAATCATTCTTCACATTGCTACGTGTTTGTTTTAATCAATCAGATATTGTAACAATGACATTTTGGAACAATACTCTCCGGATGATCCACTTTGCAGCAGCACAGTCATAAATCTTAGCAACAGTGATTCTGTAGCAGCAGATGAGTGTAAATGAGACGCCGGTTGGAGTTTTATCAGATGAGATGATGAAATGAAGCAGTTGGTATCGTCAGCTGTTAGTACTGTAAGAGCCGGTCAACCCAGAGACAGAGTCCATTCAAGTGGAACTCATGAGATGTTTCTGATGTGTAAAGGTGATCCTCCAATATGCTCAGCAGTCAAGTGGCTTCACACAACTGCGTTGCTAGGCAACTGATAAAAAAAGCTGACTCCTTGTGCTCTTAAAAAATGGTGAATGATTTGGTGCTTTCTGCATCTGCAGTAACTCCCAAAGCTATGCTTATGCTTCAGTATAAATTACAATTTCTGAACTGTAGAGATATTACAAATTCTCATTATTAATTTGTTTTACACAAACCTAAAACCACTTTACTACAAAGGCAGAATGTGAAGCCAATTTGCTTGACTCTGCTCTGCTGTCTGTATGAAACTGGCTGATATTGTTGAAGCCTACACACAGCCAGTGATTAATTTCTTAACATAGAAGAACATATAAATTATTAAATTCAGCATGTGCTAATCTCATCTTTAGAGTAATGTCGTTTCTCTGACTCTGGGTTGGCTGCAAAATGCTGATGTGAAGCAGAAAGAATGAGAACAAGACGTTCTCTCACAGAACATCTGATAAAAACATGGACAAAGTCCACTGATGTCTGAAACAAAGAAAGGGAAAAACATGACTTTCAAAGCTGCTGTCAGGTAAAAATAAAATCACCCAAACTCCAGTTCTGATGATATTCATGTTTTAGCTGAGCTTTGGTTTTCTTTTGTTTCTTATTTTGGTTGTTGGCCTTTAGAGACAGTAATCCACTGGAAAGTAAAACCAAGTCAACGCCTAAAAAACAACCAGCAACCAGATATTGACAGAGAAAGAAAGTTAAGAGATTGATAATCCTTCATCTTAAACGCTCTTAAACCAACAATTAATTTGTACATGAACTAATTCACTCAACAGTTAAAAATAAATAAATCTACAATTAAAAGCAGGGTCCCAAATAGAAGAAGGTCAGGTCTCAATTAGAGGCCTGGTCCGGATTTAATAGAAGTTCTTTGGATTGCCGACACAAATGTAAATGTTTAAACTCTAGTCAATATGGACCTGCTACACATCGTTAGACCGCTTAGTTCATTCAGGACAAGTAATTATCATTTCTTATTTTTTGATTGAGTCCAAATTCTTATTTAATTCAGTAACTGTGAGCTGAATGAAACTAATAGTCTTGTTTGTTAACGTAAGCTTTTATCTGACAGCAGCAATGCTCATAATAGATAGATAGATAGATAGATAGATAGATAGATAGATAGATAGATAGATAGATAGATAGATAGATAGATAGATAGATGGCATTGTCAGTATTCTGGTGATTGTGGAGGCAGAGAGACAGGCATGTTGGCAGTCAGACAGGCACAACAGATGACAACAGACAGGCCGAAAGATCAGGAACAGGCAGACAGACTGAAACACTGAGACAGACGGACAGAAAAACACACATATTGACAAAGACAAACAAAAGAGAGAGAGAGACAAGACAGACAGAGAGACAGATTAAGAGACTGACAGTCGGACAGACAGACAGACTGACAGACAGACACACAGACAGTAAACGAGTCTAAAACCCAAAACTGACAGACTCTTCTGTGAGGGTCAGGTTTATGTTTTCATACAGATTTTTGAGAGTAAGAGAATGCATGAAGTTTGTTGTCATCTATAAAACTAGACTTTGTACAACAGCGCTCTGAACCCTCGTACCAAACATCTGTGGATTGAACCAGTGCTCCATGGTCTGCAGAGGTACAACCAAGTCCAAGTTGTTGTTTTTCAAGTCTTGTGTAAGTCTCAAGTCTCAAAGTCCAAAACCAACAAAACGCTGTAAAACATACAGTCATGAAAACCTCATAGCCTCTAGAAATGTGGCCTGAAATAAAAAAAAGTACTATTATATTATTATATTAGGAAACCTAGTTTAAAAAAAACTGCTCATTTCACTAAAAAGGCTAATAAAAATACTTTCACCGCTTCCCTTTGGCATCGGACAGCCCTTTCTGATGTGAAACCAGGACCTATTCAGAAAGATAAACCCAGCAGCACCAAGACACAGAGCCAGAATATTTTCACATCTAATTAAAAATACATTTTGAGCAAGCTAAAGTTGATGATTGTTGGAACATATTTTGGGTGTGAAGTGTTAATTACGATGAGTTAACAAGGCAGTTAATTTAACATTAGTCTTAGTAGAATGAGAGAAAAACCTGAGTTGAAACTGAAGGGGTGGGAGGCAGGATGGGGTCTAATAAATGATAAATCTAATCTCTAATACTTTTTAGATGCTTACTATTACATACAAAAGACCCTAAATTACATAGTTGGAATATATAGTTATTTATAGTGGATTTAGATTTTCAGTGGTCTTAACAGATATAATAATGAATCAAATATTAGTATAAGGATTGTCAACGCAAGCTCGGATGATGCTGGAAGAAGATTCAGGTCATTGTTGTTGAAATCGAAGTGCAGCTCCTGCTTTGGATTTTATCTAGTCGAGTCTGAAGTCATCAAACCCAAGACTTGAGTCTGCACCTCAGCGACCCAGAACACTGGCATATTCATGTTATCAAATAGTTTGAATAAATGTAAGTTTAGTTTGGTTAATGTAACCAAATCCTGATGTGTGACTGATACGCCTTTACAAAACTTCATTTTTAATCCAATAAACCTTTGATTTAAAACCAAGAAAACAAAATTCATGAAAGCATATGTCCCTTTAAGGACACCGCAGTTTCATAATTTAACATGTGCAATGTGTTGATGATCAACCGAAGCTGTTGACACTGTAGGACTGATTTCATATGCACATGCGTGGTTTGACCTAATTTCCCACAAAAACAGACAAAACAGGACACCAACATTAACCCCACATTCACTGTCCCCTGTCCGGAGTTTCAGAGTGTACCTGAGGGGCGATCCTTTGGGCGTGGCCACTCCATAGCCTTTAGAGTCCAGGTTGCCTCCTACTTTCATGGTGTCGCAGGGCTTCCTCTGCTCGATGTACTCGTTCATGGAGGACTCAAGCAGGTAGGCGTACTTCCCCTTCGACTTTCTGACTCTAATCACACCTTCATTGGTGTTCTTGACGAACACTGTGGGGTCGGCGCTTCGCATGTACGACCACATCTTCTCGAAAACTGCTATTTTGGACCGCTAAAGTGGGAACAGATAAAGACAAAACTATATCATCAGAAGATCGTATCAAATACTGCTCAAAGTACCTGTTATGTGAGTTCACTAGTTGGTGGAGATAGTAATCAGCCAGTCGGTGCCATTAAACCATTGCAGAATAAGAGGACATAACAAGAGAATGTCATTAAAAGAGCTCCAGTTGAAGCTCAAACGATGGAAAACCAAGTGAAAAACATAATGTAAACCAGACATTTCTGTTAGCATTCATATGAGGAAGGTTACAGTATCTTGCGATCTTGTTCGACAGTGATGGTAAAATGGAGTGTGAGATGGACAGGCGGATTGGTGTGGCATCAGCTGTAACACAGGCTTGAGGTTTCGATTTACCTGTCGATCTTCATTCCTATGACCACAAGCTTTAGGTAGTGACCAAAAGAACGAGACTGTCAGTATAAGAAAATTAATTTTCCTCCGTAGGGGGTCTGTGCTCAGCTATAGAAAGAGCTTGGACATGAAAAATACTATAAGCAGTCGGGAACTGCAAGTCTAGGTCCATCAACAGTGGAAAAATATGTCCTCCAAATAAGTCATAATTCAAAGTTTTCTGTGGAACAAAATGTATTTTAGGGTCAAAATGCAGCCGGTAACCATTAGGGGTGGTATTTGTATTCGTCCCGAATAGTCACGGGACGGGCATCACGGTTCGGTACATGCAGTCATACGACAAATACGTCTGAGTGAGTTTAAAAAAAAGTCGAGTCCTCACTTTAATCCAGGTGGCGGTATAGGGCCTAAAAGCTACCAGAAACTGTCATTACAGAAGAAGAAGAAGTAGTTACAAAAAAGGACAAAGAAGAAAAGTGATGGAAAGTGTGGAGTTGGAGGAGCTGCCGGCTTCATTTAAATCAGCTGTTTAGGAACACCTTGGCTTCCCAGTACAATATAGTGGTGATGGCACGCGAGTGGTGGACCGGACAAAGACTTTCTGCCGGCGATGTTTCACGGAGGTGCGGTATGTTGCTGGGCAACACCTCAAACATGCTAACCCACATAAGACGGCATCACCCCGACATATCTGTCACTGGTGCAACAACTTATCCCCGCTGCTTTTAAGCCACCTCTTGACATTAACACTGACAGGGCCAAAAACATCACAGAAGCAATTGGCGTATACATATCAACATCTATGTGCCCAAATGCCTATGTTACCAAAGTTGCCAGTTGGCAAGAAGTGCTACCTGACTACCTTAGTCTATCTTTTCCTCTGTATTAACAGAATGAGAACCCTCCTAATACATTTGTTTTATGTTTTATTCTATTTCTTTTTTACTTTTATAACAGGAGATGGTTTTTTATTTTGCAGTCAACTGGTGTCTGTTCAAAATAAATTAAAAAGCTTTCTTTTATATGTGATTTTATTTTATTTTTTTCCCGTTGTGCCCAACCCGTACCGAATTGTGACCCCATACCGAGGTACGTACCGAACCATGACTTGTGTGTACCGTTACACCCCTAGTAACCATGTGTCCATCGAAATGTCTCGCAAATATTGTTAGAATTTTGAGACAGAAGAAACTTTTATTTTTCACGTTTCTATCAACCTTTTCTAATGCGATACTTAAAAATATGTTAACAGCTACAGACACATGGTGCTCTCAAAATGGGCTGAGTCCCAGAGGTTAATAAGCCGAAAGCACAACATGTTCCTCAGTGACTCGCCCCAGTCCTGTTCAAAGAATACAGCACATATTTTGTCTTCTGCAGAATGACAGTATGTTCTGTCTGACCGTTAGACTGGAATAAAATGGATGTATTGAAAAATTAGAACAATGAGTCCATTTCCACCAACAGGGAACCGGCTCCGTTCCGGCTTTAAACCTTTCTAAGCATTTAGACCAAAAATAAAGTTGGTACCCAGCAGGTTTTCTTTAAGAAGTGCGTGTGACATATTCTAAAGGTTGTTGTGCATTGTGCAGTGCCCAAACCGGTTCAAGAACCAGAGCTAATTTGGTGGAAAAGGGGGCCAATGCCTCCTTACCCTGAAGAACTCTTTGGTGGAGCCTCCCTCCAGGGTACCGTAGGCGATTTCCGTCTGCTTGGCCAGGTCCTCTGCGCTCTCTATGGGGGAGACCATCCTCTCCACTGTGAGGAAGGCTGCCAGGTTGGCTGTATAGGAGGAGATGATGATGAGGGTGAAAAACCACCAAACTCCTCCCACGATCCGACCCGAGAGAGACCTGGAGAGAACGAGGGCGGAGACAGATAAATCACATGCTCACAGTCTTTTAACCACTGTTCATCTGCACATAAATTACATAAAAACAAATTAGTTGGATTTGTCTTGTAAGTTATTTGTGAAAAACAAGCCGTCATCCCTGCAGCACTCCAGCTGACCTCCAACATGGCCACCAGAAGACGTATTACATCACCAGAGAGGTTTCTGTCGCTGTCACTGCTGAATCGCTGGACAAATAATGTGTGTTACACTTGTTTTGTATCTCCTACAGTAGGTGTGACAGCTGAGGCTGAACTGCTGTCTCTGCCTGCAGGGACGCGGCACACGAACACAAGCCGTACCTCACATCAGCATCAAATACATCGACACATTCACCCCCTGCTCTGATACTGTTCGGCCCTGAGGCTCGTCTAAAGGTGACCCTGTGTGGTGTGTAATGCTCACACACATGCACACACTGATTGTTGTGTCACGATGAACAGGGTTGAGACAGATAGACGAAGCATGTCTCTGTGTGTGACAAAAAGTCCTCACAGTAATAGTAAGAACTCTGATACAAGGACTGTTTCTTTGTGTCTTTACTGATAGGACAGCTGAAGACAGACAGTGAAGGGAGGAGAGAGAGAGGATGACACGTAGCAAAGGGCCACTGGTCAAACTTGAACCGATGGCCACTGCAGTAAGGACCTAGCCTTGCTGAACTACCACGTTTTTAAGCTTCCCTACAAAGACTTTATCTTGCCAGGCTTCACGCAATGCGCCCAGTGGTTCGGACCAGGAAGCGTTCTTTGAGGAACTCCTGGCAGCTACAGCATTAGCTCCAGGTGTGGTTTAAGGCTCGGTGTGTGTGTGACAGTGTGTGTGAGAAGTGACAACCCAACGATGGCGGCTGCTAAAGAATGACAGGGACATACAAAATGATCCAATCGCCTGCAGTGTGATTTTTAAAAGTTCCTGTGACGACTTCCCAGTTGGTTCCGTGTAACAAACAATGTGCCGCAGTCGGGTTATCAAAGGCTCATTTGTCAACTGATGTTTGATTATTAATTTGTGTGATCGACTTTTTTTCCTTTCGTGTGAAGCACTTGATTGACACATCACTGCCGATAATGCTTTAATAGATAAATGAATGATACAGGCGCCACAAACAGCCACAGCCGTGTGTAATGACAGCAGCTCCCAACTGACTGATGATGAACGGCAGGTTAAAGACTGGAGCTTTGTCCTTTTTCTCACACATTATCATAAAGCCTCACAGAGGTTGTACATACAGTATATATAACGTATAAGGACACGCTTCACAACATCATTGCTTTAATGAGGTTATGAAGAAAACAGTTACTGAAACAGCCATAAACACACACACACAGTGACACACATACTTATATAAAACACACACACACACACACACACACATAGTGACACACATACATATATAAAACACACACACACACACACACATAGTGACACACATACATATATAAAACACACACACACACACATAGTGACACACAAACATATATAAAACACACACACACACACACACACACACACATAGTGACACACAAACATATATAAAACACACACACACACACTGTAGATCCAGAATAGAAACAGCCTCAGGCTTTAACAGTAACATACAACTAACTCGGCAGCACGTCACACAGAATTGTATGTGTTTCATGATAACATGTGTGTGTGTGTGTGTGTGTGTGTGTGTGTGTGTGTGTGAGATATGTCTACAGTAATTAAGTGCTGTATATCACTGATGGTACGCTTATATGTGCGCCTGCCTTTGTATGTCTCTGTGTGTGAGCACATTTTGTCTGGTCTGCACTTTCTCAAAGTTTGTGTTTGACGGGGTTAGCTGGAGACAACTAGCTTAGCTTAGCATAAAGACGGGAAGCAAAGCCTTGAAATAGTTCAAACATATAAAAGAACGACTTGCTGGTTTTAAATTTTTTTATCTGTTTGTGTTGTTTCCTGGTTGGGACATGTGATGTCCTACCTGGGGGAGATGTCACAGCCCTGCTGCATGAAGGCCCCGAGTGAGAACCAGAGAGAGTTAAAGATCCCAAAGTCATTGCTGTGTTCTGGAGCCTCTTTTTCTTTCTGCTGGTTCTGGTTCTGGTTTTGGTTCTGGTTCTGGGAGTACCCTGTAGAACAGAATCAGATCAAACAGGAAAAAACACCAACGCATTAAAATCCAGTTTTACATGTTACTGAATGAAAGTAAACACGATAAAAAAAGAGGTTTCAAGGCTTGATGATGATGATGATGATGATGATGATGATGAGGTACCTGGAGAGTGAGCGAGCTCAGAGGAAGAAGTCGGCAGAGCTCGTCGAGAGGCAGAGGAAGGCAGAGTTTCATCTTCATCATCTTCATCTTCACCCTTCCACTCATAAGGACTGAAACGACTCACCTGAGACGCAAAGTACACAGGTAACAGCTGCCTGCAGTAAAAGTCATGTTTCACACACAAACACACTTATAAACACACACACACACACACACACACACACACACTCACCAGGAAGAGCACCACGCTGACTCCGATGTAGGCGAAGACGATGCACATCCAGATCTCGTAGGCCAGCGGGTCGAGGAAGGAGAAGACGCCCGGTTTGGACTTTGTGGGTTTCTTGATCATGATGGAGATTCCCAGAGACATGAAGGGTTTGGTGAAGTCGATCACCTGCTCTCGCACCAGAGTGATGGTGAGCGGGGCGACCGCCACGTCGGCCTTCTGCAGAGAGAGAGAGAGAGAGAAAGAGAGTGTTACAGATACAAACATCATTTATTGATGCTTGTGTGTGTATTAGTGTTACTGCAGTGTATTCTGTGACCTCACAGACTCATGTTGGTTGATGATGTGCTCCTGGATTAGATCATATTTCGATAAATGGACAAACGAATGAATGAATGAATACTGATGAACATTAGTAAGAGGATGAAACAAAGTCTCTGAGGTTTCCAGAAGCTCCCTATATAAGGTTGGCAAGTAAAAATGTGGATTAATCCGCCGCTGAAAATAGTCCCCGACAAATGCTGCAACAAGTGATGAGCTGAGACGAGCTCAGGTTGCAGTATGATAGCTATTTAAAGACAGTGTGTCCCTGTGTAGCATCTTCTTCTACTCTGGCTGTTAAGAGCTAGTCTTAGCTAGTTAGCAGCTGTTAGCAACAGTACAAGGAAGGCTACAGAATGTTAAAATAAATAAAATAGCATAATCTTTACGAGCTATCAGGCTCTCCACAATACAAAAACCACAGTGACTCATAATGTGAGCTGATAGCAGTCTGTGAACAGTCTGGACCAACGCTAACACAACACACAGCCTTTCAGTCTCTATTATTCTGCAACCTGAGCTCAATAATGTCAAACTCCTTCACGTACAGTGAAGTTGGAGCTAGCTAGTTGTCGTACAAGCACAGCGACTGTTAACTGTGATGGATTATTCTGCTCTGTGGTTGAGATCTGGTCACACTCACCCCGTACACCAGTTCTCCCACCATGCCGTTCCACATCTTTGTTTCTGCGTCTCGGGCGCCGTACTTGCCGTCCCCCACCAGCTCGAGCCGGTAGACGAAGCCGACGTGTTTGGCGATCTCTGAGGCCAGTTCGGCGCAGTAACCTTCGTACCTGTCGTTTCCTTCAAGCTGCTCGTGGTTCTTCTTCAGCATCATGTACGGGGCTTCCTGTACGGAGACAGGCGGCGTTCAGGTTAAAAAACGCAGGAAGGTAAGTTGTAAACGCCGTCATGTCTTCCCAGTCTTACCAGGATGGTGGTCACTACGTATGTTCTGTTCTGCAGACCGTGGAACTCCTCCACCACTGGCCGGTAGATGTTGGTGTTCACGTAGCCTCTCCTCTCGTTCCAGAAGCCGATCTGAACACACAGCAGCAGAGTTACACTACGGTACCAGAATCTGTGTGTCCATCTGTGCTGTTTCTACTCGGTTACTCTCCTCGTCTGTCACTTCTGGTTTTGTTTTAAAGTTTTTTCACAAGTGAAGAAAAACAAAAGATCAGTTTTCCAAAATGCTAAACCTTCACGAGGATCAGAGGCAGGATGAGCGGTGGCGTAGAGTTTGGATGTGGGGGTGTATAGAAGGAGACAAGGTTATAACACAGGATTGTTTAATGAAATTCAGCATCCTTTATGCAACTCGTAAAACAAAATATATACACACACACACACACACACACACACACATATATATATATGTATTACCGACAGTAGACGGCGGTCGGCATGCAGCCAGTCTGGGGAAGCAGACGGGGGCAGTAAAGCAACTATACCATTATTCTCCTATGGTACGGCGCCTTGCATGCACTCTTCCACCATTGTTTTTGAAGTGAAGTTAGAGTTTACTCATCTAAAACTCAACGTCTGTTTCAATACGTTTTTTCTGTTAATCATATTTGATCGGCTGTGCATGCAGCTCTGCTCCACAGGCGCACCAGCTGTTTTTCCCTAAGTGCTTTGCCAAGACATAAGTGCCCGGGTTTAGCTCCTGTGGCTTCATAGTTCCTGGAACTACTTCAAACAGTGAGCTCTGCTGGTTTCTGCTTGTTTGTCTCAACTCGTCCCAAAGATGGCAGCATCAGTAAACTTAAGTGTCCGATGTGAGTCCTGGACCTCTGTGTGTCATTTTAACAACAAAGCCTCATTACAGCGAGAACTCAAACTGTAATACTGTTGTCTGATGGAGTTCAACAGAAAGCTGAGAGTCTGCAGGTTTTCATACCAAACAAGCGCTGCAGCAGCTGATTTCACTGATGATCGCACTTTTAATCAGAGGAGAGGGAGCTAATTATTAAAATGAGCTGATGTGGTGAAAACCTGAAGATTCCCGACTCCCTGCAGAGCGACGCCGCACCAAACTTCAGTTAGAAAAACTCTCGTTCAACAAAAAGAAGGAACAACCTTCCTGGGTCCGCTGTGGCTGAGCTCCATCACAGTCAGAGTGTAGTTGGTGCGATGTCCTCGCTCGTCAAACTGAACCCAACCCGTCAGGCCCTCCAGACGCACCTGCCAACACACACACACACACACACACGCCATGTTGACTCTAGGTTTCTATGGTGCATCGTTAGCATTAGTGCTGTATTGTGTATATTTGTGTGTATAAACCTGTTGCAGTGCTCGCTGTATGTCGATGCCCTGTCCCCAGGGGGCGGGAGGGTTTGCCAGACACTCCCCGGCGTTGCCACGGCGAGAGATGTCGATCCGTTGCCGCCGCAGGTTCTGAAACGCCGTCGCCATGACGCTGACGCCATCGTAGGTCAGAGCTCCGGTGTACTGAGGACGACAATGAGGTTCAGCACTAAATGATAAATGATTGATGCTATTTATGTTACTTTATTTATTTACTGTGTCGGACCGGCACATCCCTACTTTGAATGCAGGACTTTGGGGTATTTTCACTGTGTGGTACTTTTACTTCAGTTATAGAAACACTGTGTGTGTGTGTGTGTGTGTGTGTGTGTGTGTGTGTGTGTACCTTGAGCCTCCTGCGGGCAAGTTTGAGGTCTTTGCTGTCGAAGTCCAGCCAGTCCTGGTTGATCTTCTCCACAGCTGGATCGGACCGGTTCACCAGCTGGAAGCCCGTCACGTTGGGCCCGAGCTTCTGAAACTCCGTCAAGTTCAGATCCATGAAGCCCTGACGCACACACACACAGACACACACAACGCTCACTGACTGAACCCCTCCTGCACACACTGTATTCATGCGTTCTTCCAGTAAATAGACAGACTCACCAGATTGGCCAGGACGTAATGGTAGTTCTTCAAGTTTCTCCTCTGAGCAGCAATCTGAGCGAGAGAGCAGTCAGAATAAATGATATGCTAATTACATTTTTCTGATGTTTCTAATGATGATAAAAAGCATCCATTACACATTCATCACACTCATCTGTGTGTGTGTGTGTGTGTGTGTGTGTGTGTGTGTGTGTGCTCTCAAACAGCTGCTAATTGGAAGACTCAAATTCGAGGGATTAATTGCTCGCCGCCACCATCAGGAAGAGAAAGAGAGAGGGTCTCCTGATGACAGAGGACAGGAAGGGAGGAGAGGGGGAGGAAGAGGAAAGGGGGATAGAGAGGAAAGGAGGAGGAGGAGGAGGAGGAGGAGGAGGAAGCAGGTGCTGACTCCTGTCTCCCGCTCAGGTCCAGCTCCTAATGAGCATCAGTCGATGAGCGTTCACTAACACAGCTGGTCTGCAGGAGGAGAAAGCTGTTCCTCCTCCTCCTCAATCCTTCCATCAGCTTCACCTCCTCCTCCTCTTCTTGCCTCCTGTCCTCTTCCTCCTCCTTCTTTCATTATTATTGCTGTGGTTTCTGCAGGTTTCACCTCGTTCAGTTTTAGAGTAGAATCACCTGAATATAAGAATGTAGTAAAGCAGGAGAGGAAGAAGTTAGCTCCGACTGAACCAAACTCCATTCAGAAATCCAGCATGTTAAAACTGGTTTGCTTGTCGTCTTGCACACAGACCTCGGCATCATGACGAAGATGTTTCGGCATTATTTTGATCCGTTTATTGACATTAAATCTGTTTATTTTTGGGCTCATTCAGGGAAATGCAAGTAAACACAAATGATCCCACGAGTAAATTTGAACGAGGTGATAATTCACTCCCATTTGCTGTGAACACACCGTTATAATGAGCCGTTTCTATCGAAGAGGGAGTCCGCCATGTTGTCCTTTGAGACATTTTAAGACATTGTAAGTCCTAAAATTCATATTATTATTATCATATTTAATCTTTTTAAGACTTTTAAGACCCCATTATTGTCAAGGTTTAACACACAGCGCCTACACATACACACATTGTTACCAGCAGTGTAAATAATCAACCTGTCAGCTCGACTCAACATCATCACTCAGCAGATCCACCTGATACGGCACACATTCAACCAAACTAAATCAGCCAAACAAAGTCCAACTGCGACTCCAACACCGCCTGATATTTCCAGCCAGGTCGCATGAAAGTAAACCTAAAATAAATTCAGCTGAAGCCAAAAGCTTCATTTCACAGCTCCAAAGCACCACCTGATACTTCAGCCTCCGTCAGCCAGCTGGAGTTGAGCAGGAAGCGGAGTTTCCCAAATGACGGTTGGTTTCTGGCCAGAGTTCACACATCTTTACCGCTGCCCTCTCTCTCCCTCCCTCTCCCTCCCCCGTTCTCCAAAAAACATCCTTTCCACTGCAAACTTATCTTCCCTCTGCGCTCAATCACTCTGTTCCCTCTCCTGCCAGTCGATTATCAATGAAGCTTAAATCAAAGTGTTGCATGAAAATCAAAACACTGAATGCAGCTGCAACTCGAAAACCAACATCCTGCTGCTCAGAATACTGAGAGAAACCCACAAAGAGCACAAATACACACAAAATCACTCAAAGTTGAATGGAAATGAGAAGCGCAGGGCAGTTTCGGTGAGTGTGGAGACCCGGCAGCGCTCTGCTGGACTCAACAAAACAACCCTGGCCAAGAAATCTTCACAAAATAAACAAGACTCGACTGAACATTGCAGTTTTCTGACCTCAGTTCACTGGATCACAGGCTTACAGACATTCAGCACGACACTGACGACTACCAACAGATCTGTTTCACACTCTTAAAGCGAGGGTAGGTGAGTTATTGCAGAAGCAGTTATTGTTATATTTGTTATAATTCTCTTTACAACCTGACAGTAATCAATAAATCAAGTGTATAACAAGCTCAGTGAAATCCTTTCATTTGAACAGAATGAAATCAGGAGTTTTATTATATTACTATCACTGGAATTAAGAGTCTTATAAACTGTGGGGTAAAATTAATGTTTTTGTCAATGGAGTCTGGTGAGCCGTAGTGCTTGTTCATTTGTTTAATCTCATTTTAACCCTTTAAGATCTCATCCTCAGTTATATTATTCCTTTATTTAACAACATAAACTCAATTTCTTTATATTTTTATATAAAATCCAATCATTTTGTCTTCCTCAGCATGAACTAACTGATTTCAACCAATAATATCAAACATTCACCCGTCAAACTGGATCAGATTTTATGGAGAGATTATTGTCTGTAGACGCTAACTGCTAATGTTAGCTGCCGTTAGCTAGTTAGCTCACTTAACCCCCGGGGTGGCAGGAGCCACAACTGGCAAAAAACACATTACACTTCTTGTCCTATAACTTTAGTTTATGTTCATCTCTCTGTATGGACCTGAGGACCTGAGCACCCTGTGTCCTCGGTGATGTTTGGTGGTGTTTTATTGACATGAGGATCAGTGAGTGTTCACCAGGTTGAGGATGGAGTTGAGTCGTTCCAGCTCGCAGTCGATGATGATCTGAAAGTCCTTCTTATAGTCCAGATCTGCCAGCAGCTTGATGAAGCCGGCTTCTGTCAGCGTGTCCAAGTTAACGGAGGTGACCTGCCAACTGTGCTCCGCCGCCGTGTCCAAGATCCTCTGCAGCACCGACAGACCTGAGAAAGAAATAACATCAAACATCTGAATATGTGGATGTATTCACGAAGAGATCCCATCATTAATGGAGAAACAGCAGTGGCAGCAGGTAACAGTACGGCGTAAAAGTCTAACCGGTTATAAACAGTCTCAGTTTAATACTGATGCCTCTATATGACCTACATAAACACACAGGACCATCAGAGAGGAGATTGGGTATTTATATGTAGTTATTTTAATGTCTGCCACCAGCAGCAGAGGAGGTTGAAACTCTCACGCTGTAACAACTACAAAGTGAAACTGACATGGAACTTTCCCCCATGTATATACAGTATATATTGCCTTTTAATCAATAGTGACTGGAAGATGAATGGGGTGCTACTTTTTTTGCAGTAGTAGTGTAAAATAGGTCTTAAATTGTATTCATAATGCCCATTGTATCTTTAAATCTCATCTGTAATTGAGTTGTCCTTTCACATGTATGTTAATTGATAGTGAAAATAATGGTGCATTAGTTTGAGTCAGTAGCTTCATTCAGAAAATGTCTATCCCATAATAATGTGTTCACATCTGACTTTAGTGAATTTGAAGGAAGAAAGTGAGCCGTACTTATTATCTAAATCAACACAGATAATATTTATCTCCAGTTGAATGTAAAACAGTAACTCAGTCTACGAATGCATTCATGTGGAAGTAACATTGAGTTGGTCAAGCTGAAGCAAACACAGTTGAGTAGTTTCATCTGTTGCAACGGCTCGTAATGTATTAATGATCAGCAGAGTATCTTCAGCTGCCAGATTAAAAGTAAAATGAACAAAGTTTCCCTCCGAGCGCTCTAGTCAACCTCAATGTCAACCTCACTATCACCTCAATCAACCAATAATCAATGAATAAACTGTTAACGCCATCAAACAACCAACAGGTGATTCACGTGGCTAGTTACCTGTATTCAGCTGGGAGGACAGTGCTAATGCTAACTGCTGCTAAAACCACAACATGTCTGTTTGTATGTTTGTATTTATTCATATTTCCTCTTCCATCTCGCTGATAACCTCCGTCTCCCTCGTTGCTCGTGGCCGCCGCCGTGGAGACGGAGGAGTGGATGTGAAGAGACGGTGGCTCCTCAAACTGAATGTCAAGATGTGTTTTTTTAGCGGATCAAACTCCTGTGATGTTCGCTGTCTGCCTCGGGCTGGACTTGGCCCGGGTTTAACTTCAAAAAGCTGCTTCACACTGAGACGCCACAGACTCATGATGCTTCTATTTTTGTTTAAGTGGCCTGGTTTTAGAAAAAAATAGATATTAGTGATGACGATGAATGATGAAATTTTATCTGAGAAGCTTTTCGGGGCAAACTTCTTCTTTTTATCTTTAATCATTCACACCCGCTCCTCTCCTGAGCTGTGATCCATTATTTAAGCAGAGAAACCCTGACCTCACACAGTCAGACCATCAGCAGAAACGTGATACACCAGCTCGGCTTCATCATCAAACCTGGAAGACCTGATGGAGGGAAAAACAACCCTTCACCATGCTCTGTAAAGCAGGTTCCACGACAATACATCCATTAATAAAACCAAAAACCTTGTGGTGGCGCTGGAGACCCTGAATGTTTGTAGTAAATCTAATTTGAATCCAGAGATTTCAGTCGGGACCAACGAACCAACAACCGACCATCCAGGGTCCAAAATAAACGTTTTGGTTAATTTGCCAATGGAAGGCAAACAGCACAAAGTATTTTTATCGACCATAAAACTGCATCCCGGTTCAGACTTCCAGATACCTCCACTGCCCGAGAAGTTGATGATTCCCGCCATCACTCGAGTCAACTTCTCGGTTATCTCTGCACTTTGGTTTTGTAGCAGCGGTGGATACAGAGTGACAGCCGGCCGCTCTGACGCTCTCTGCTGACCCTCGGACAAACTGCTGTAGAACCGTTAGCAACTATGGTTAGGTTGTCACAAGTAACCATACTTCAGTACTTTAATACCGAGTGTTTGAATTGATACAATACTACCATTCAATAGTATCGAAAGTACCAAAGTTATAAAAAACAACAGCATGCAACCAGATTGTCAGCCTGAGCCTCAACCTTACTAACACTGAACATTATTACAAATGTGTCTGCGTTCAGTTCTGTACAATCAGTGTGCAGGTTGCTAATCTATAATAATAATTAGCATTTTTATTGTGCCTTTTTAAGTTTACTGTCATTTTTCCATGCTAGTATTGTATCAAAGTTTATGATTCAGGTGTTGTGACAGCCTCAGACGGTGGTCCGACCTCTGCTGCCGTCCTCTGTGACTGACTCTTCGGCTGAGAGGAGGTGGCGTGCTGGGAGTTTAAACTGAACTGTGAGCAGGAACGTGGTTTTTACTTTCTCTGACTGAGTGCAAATCGGATGTTTCCACTCCACAGATGACGAAGAAGAGGCTTTAAAACACGAGGAAGGCTAAAACACGAGACTCACGTAAGCCGATATCGGAGCGAAAAACAAGGAACAGAAAGTGCAAATGCTTCCAGTGTGTCTCTACAACCCAACAGGCAGAGTCTGTTCTGTGGTTTTTTTGAGTCAACACGCAGAGTAATCACATCAGCATTTTACAGTACACACACACACACACACACACACACACACACACACACAGTGTTCAAAAGACAAGTCAGCAAAATTCAGATAGACTTCAAAGAGTACAGAGAGATGAACAGAGAGACAAAGTGAGAAAGTAACTTCAAAGATACTGTCACACACACACACACACACACACAGAGGTAGTAACCCTGGAGGAGATGTCACTGTGTGTGAGTGTGTGTGTGTGTGTGTGTGTGTGTGTGTGTGTGTGTGTGTGTGTGTTGTGTAAATGCAGCACCTTCCAGCAGATTAAAGTCACATTATTTCTGAGTGTAGAGCTGATGAACGCTGTCATTAACAGCGATGGGAGGAAGAAACCAACGGATGGTAGAAAGCTCCAGAAATCCTTTTCTTACATCTGGAGAAGAGGATTTGTCGTCCAGGGGATCTCTGCAGCACTTCACTATAATGCTGTAATGTTGGTCACATTAGATGAACTGAGGCTCTAACAGGATCAATGTATGAACATCTGCTGCAACTGGCTGCAGCAGCTCCATAAGTCCAGTATGAACCTGTGCTATAAACATGTTAAGACTACTTTTGCATATTTATCACCCATAAATGGGCCAGTAGTGTTTGCACAGTGTCACTGACCCTCTAAGGATCATTGTGAAATGAACACAGGAGAGGTGCAGATTGTATGATCAATACTGGCCCACAGACTACCTGCAGGGTTCCTGATTCCTTTCTCTATCTACAAATCTACATCCTGCCTTCCCCATCCTAGGAAAACAAATCAGCTTGCAGACCCCTACATCACAGGGGATTTAGAAGAGGGTATACTCTCTATATCTGTGTACACCCTGCACAACTCCACCGTTCACAGCTCCAAGATGGTGGACCTGATCCAAAACTGATCCACTGAAAACCGGACACACAAAGACCCGAGGATAATTAGACCCTAACAGAGAGAGACCAGGTAACACCTGATCCAACAATTATAACAAGCAGCAATAATGTGAGATCATTGGATCTAATAATTAGTTCTCATGCTTTAAAGACTAATTTATACAAATAATAAAGTCCTAATGATGCTAAAAGCCCCAAAACAGACAATGAACACAGTGGTTAATGATAATCTACACAAACTTCATCATATGGCTGCTGCTAATAATCTGTATTTAAACTGATAAATTGAGTGTTTGTGTGTATTGTATGTATTTGTAGTGTCAGACTGTTGTATTGTTGATGGGAAATGACACATTCTGGAAAAGTCCTATTTTCATCAAATTCCAGAAAATACTCATTTACGTCGACTAATTTCCTAAAATATGTTCTCCTGCAGTCATTACGACATGAAAGCAGAAGAGTGGAGGCTGTTAGAGCGACACATTAATGCCCACAGTGTCACAGCCACATGTTCAACCACCACATCTGGCTGAAACGTTGAGCTGTCCACATACTTTTGGCCATGTAGCGATTAGCTGCTCCGCTGCGAGTGCAGAACAAAAGTCGAGGAAGCAGAAAAAGCAGAGCGAGGACGCAATGTGACGAGAGATTGTGTGATGACCTCTGATAGGTAACTGCTCATTAGCATCCACACAGTTTACAGCAGCTGCACGCACACACACACACACACACTGAGGCAAGTCAAGTGTGTGTTAATGATAATGTATAACCTTCCATTAGAGATACAGCCGACCAACACACCCACACTGATAGAGTGTCAGTCACTGATACTGAGAGAGAGAGAGAGAGAATAAGATTAAAGACAAAAATAGAGGTAGAGAAAGAGACACATTCACGGAGAGGAAGAGAGGAAGAAAGGAAGAAATACAGAAAGAGCAGTTTTATATCTATATTTATAAAACTGCTCTTACTCTCGGTTCTGCATCTAATTTACATAAACAGCCTGCATGAATTTACTATTAATGCACAGAGAGAGGACGGGGGGGAGAAGAAGAAAAGGATGAGAGGAGAACAGAAAGTGGAGAGGAGGAGAAGGAGGAGGAGGAGAGACTCCTCAGCAGTGTACCTGTATGTTTCCCAGCAGAGCTTTTACAGAGAATTACAGCATCAGCCTCCATCTGTCCTCTGGCACTCATTAAATCTGTCTGTCTGGTACAACTCAGGGCCAAATAAAGGTAAACACAGGGCCAACATGGGGCCAGAACAGGGCCAGCATGGGGCCAGAACAGGGCCAACATGGGGCCAAAACAGGGCCAACATGGGGCCAAATAAAGGCCAACATGGGGCCAGAACAGGGCCAGCATGGGGCCAGAACAGGGCCAGCATGGGGCAAACATGGGGCCAGAACAGGGCCAACATGGGGCAAACATGGGGCCAGAACAGGGCCAACATGGGGCCAGAACAGGGCCAGCATGGGGCCAGAACAGGGCCAACATGGGGCCAAAGCAGGGCCAACATGGGGCCAAAACATGCCAACATGGGGCCAGAACAGGGCCAGCATGGGGCCAAAACAGGGCCAACATGGGGCCAAATAAAGGCCAACATGGGGCCAGAACAGGGCCAACATGGGGCCAAATAAAGGCCAACGCAGGGCCATTTCTGTGCATTATGTTGGCATACACTTTGTTCAGGGTTCAGTGAGGTAAATACGTTGACACAGAGCTCATTGTGCGGGAATTGAAAAATACAAACAATCCACAGCGACCTTTTCAGGCCGTGTTCCTCAGCTCCAGACTATTTATTTATTCATTTATTTATTTATTTATTTCTAAAGGAATTTCAGCCTCTCAGGACGGGGCGAACTAAAACAAAACTCTCTCACTTTGAACAGCGTGTGTGTGTGTGCGTGTGCTGCATGAATGTGCAGATAACAATGTGTGTGTGTGTGTGTGTGTGTGTGTGTGTGTGTGTGTGTGTGTGCAAACGTGCATGTGGCGTGGCTAACAGTGTGTTAGCGAGAGATTAGCCTAGTGATGCAGCAGCGGTTATGTCAACCACACACACACACACACACACACACACACACAATCAGTTTCATGTTCAATTACACACAGTCTCTGTTCATGCGAGCTGATGCTTTCCTCTCCCAGCTGCTGTCTGTCTGTCTGTCTGTCCTCCTGTCCGTGTTTTGTTTTTGGATCAGTGGAGGGTTCACTGAGCGTGGCGCTGTCCGGTTCGTGGCGACCGCTGGAGAGTAAACGTCTGTCTTGAGGGAACCTCGATGGTGGGCAAGAAGACGGGAGAAAGGGCCAAATAAACATTGGCAGCGGAGGAAGGAGGGGAACACGTAAAAGCTTTCTCAGTCCTCTGGACAGTTTAAAGAACAGGAGAGGAAGAGGAGGTGAGAGGAGGACAATAAGGAAGAAGAGGAGGAGAACAAAGAGGAAGAAAAGGTTGTATTTATTGTCACAGTGATCAGTTTGTAGTAGGGGTGTAACGGTACACACAAGTCACGGTTCGGTACGTACCTCGGTATGGGGGTCGCGGTTCGGTACGGGTTCGGTACAACGGGAAAAAAAATAAAATAAGAGCGTTGGAAGAATAATTTCTCCCATCAATGTTTTGTTCATAACATTGATTGATTGATTGACAGCTAGCTAGTGTAACCTTGGTAACAACAGCTAACGTTGAGGACGTACAGCGATGTGATGACGTGGTTCTCAGTTCTGTAGCAGTGCGTTCGCGTTGGTGGAAAGAGGGAATGTGTTTGTCTTTAATGAGAATCACGTCCTTTGAAACAGTAGTTCTCAACCTTCACATGAAAGCTTCCAAACTCTCACAGACGGAACCACTAACAGTGTGTCAGCTGTAGGCCTAAAAGGCCGACAGCAGATGGAGATACAGCCTCATGTTACTGCGGTAACTGAGCCTGTTAACGTGTATAAAAACCGTACAGCAGCTCAGAGCCACAATATGCTATTTTATTTTATTTCCCACAACCGTTTGTCGACCCCCAGGAATGACCTTGCAACCCCTTTCTGGGGTCCGGACCCTCAGGTTGAGAACCACAGCGATGAGATGAGGTCTGACACACTGACTGGCTCCACAGGCGTGAGGATTCATCCTCTGGGGACCATCAATATCTACAACATGGTGGTCTAACTAACAGATGAGGAGGAGGAGATGATGATGATGAAGGACTGGAAACTCTCTGCTGTACTTCGCTGTAACAGCTGTTTGTTTCCAGGAGTCAGTCACTGTACAGAGAGCAAGGCTGTATCCATGGCAACGAGACAGAACGATAATTATGGGATGAGTCAGTGTGGATCGTTTCTTTATCTGTGTGTTGTGTGTGTGTGTGTGTGTGTGTGTGTGTTTTGAATAAAGGTCAGAGCAGGGCTGTAAGTTCATTTTGTAATAAATGGTTTGGTTGTTGATCTTGTACAAATCTGTTTGGAGAGTCCACACACACACACACACACAAACACACACAGAGAGACACAAACACACACACACACACACACACACACACAGAAGCACACACACACACACACACACACACACAGTGTAGCAGTGAGGCGTTTACCAGCAAACAGAAAATAGACCCTCAAGCAAGGTTTACTGAGAGAAGAAGGGAGGAAAGAAAGAAAGGAGAAGAGGTTAATCTGTTTAAGAGAATCAGCAGCTGTAAAATAAATGAGTAGATTTAAATATTAAAGTGTCTCTCAGACTGTAACTCCGCCGTCTGAGCTGAAATCTCAGAGGAAACTTTCTCCTCGTTAAACTAAGTTCTCGTCCTGTTTATTGATCGCCATCTCTAATCGCCACCGGGGGGCGCTGCGTGCTGACGTGGCCTCAGGGAAAGCCCCAACAAACAATCTAATGTCTCCTCGGCAGATGTTGAGGAGCAATAACATTAGACAGACTGCACCGCCGGGGCAGACAGTTACGCACTATTACCCCTGATAGACTCCCACCGATGGTTCCTGGGCAGATTTAAAGGCCGATAAGATTAGACAGAGTCTGCCACCAACTGTCAAATGGACTATAACATCAGATCGCAGGCCGTGGGGGGACACTAGGCCCGGCTGAGGGGGGGGTGGGGGCAATGACACAACTAACTGCCCTTTTTGGTTGTTTGTTTGTTTGTTTGTGTATTTGTTTGTGTTTGTTTGTTTGACTCGCAGAGCTGGAGGTAAAGTTTGACTCAGAGGAAGTTCTGGCTGCACTGAAGTGTTCGGCAGTGTGTGAGAAGCTCCCGGCTGACGAGATGAAGACGTCTGAGACTTTCCTGTCATTATGTTCGCTGACTGTCTGAACAGGAGCAAAACTGCTGCAGCTCTTCTGCAAAAGGTGAATTGTGTTTCTGCTTCTGGTTCTTTAAGACGGCTCGCTCCTTAATAAAAGCTATTTAACATTTCTGCATTAAGCTTTATGTACTATATGTAGTTGTGTTGAGTTCTTCCATTATCCCAAATGTTTCCAACAATGTTCAAACTCAGAGAAATCTGTCATTTTATTCAGGTAACGCTGCGTTTCACCGGTCGCCTGTCGATGGCGTCATATCCCCTTTGTGCCTGCGTCAGCGTTGTGGTTGTCTGCCAGAAGCTGTCATACATTGACTGTTGATCCAGTCTGAAGCCACATTGTTACCATCCACTGTTTAGATCTTGGTGCTTTTTAACTCTAGATTGGAACCGGATGAAGGATTTTAGTCATCGGACGTCTGGATCTTAAGTTATCAGAGAAACAAGCTGAGCTAACGTTAGCAGCAGCTCGGCTCGCAGCCCCTCCGGGACGTCCTTTGTCTGTCCAACAGCGTGGGAGAAGCAGTGATTGTTAAGTGTTTTGATGTGGTAGTAATTGCATATTGCACGATTAAATAATAAAAATGTCAACACTAACTGCTAGTATGAGACAGGAGATAAACACATCCTCTAACATACACACAGAAGTCATCCGTACTGTTGCATCCTCACCTGAGTTGGAGCTGTACATGTAGACGAACCTGGTCCACTCGAAGCGCTCCAGCAGGGCCATGAGGGGCTCCTGCAGCTGGGGCCGCAGCTGCAGGACGAACTGGTTGTTGGTGTGAACGGGGAAGGACGGCGTGACGAAGCAGACGTGCAGAGAGCCGCAGAAAGACATCAGCATGTTGACCGTCCGCCGGTCGTACAGACCCATGATGGCGTACACGCCCTTGGAGAACTGGGAGCAGACTGTGACAGCAGGAGGAAGAAGAACAGAGGATTATTATTTTCAGATAACCACACTTACAGTTTGAAGTTAGTCTTCGTACGACTGGTTCCAGATGTTAAAAGGTTTGAGCTTCTGCGTGCTGCAGGAGTAAAATAATGTTGATTCATATTTTCATAATCAATCCGTGGTCGTGAAACTTTTGAAAGGTCCTATTTTCTGCCAGTGTTTGGTTTGTCCGTTCAGGGCTCCTGTAGAAACATGGCGAGTGAGTACAGTTCAGGGCTGCTAGTTAAGCAGGAATTTGGTCATAAACCAAAAGTATTGGACAGATTAAGATTTTGCAAACAGACAGACGTGTGAAGAATAAGCATTTTATGTTTTTCAGCAGAAAACAAGAATTACAGATTTAGTTGCTGTCTGAGCTGTTTGTTCCACTCGTATGTTTTAATTTTTTTGTTTTGTCCTGTATCGTTGTCTCTTCACTGTAACATCCACATGACCTCTTTTACCCTCTCATCCCTCTCTGTCAGTGCACATCCCTCCATCCTCCGCCCTCTCTTTCACCTTCTGTCCTCATCCTTTAAATCTTGTCCAAAAATGACATTTGTCTGGTTGTCTGTCTTGTTGTTCAAGCTCCAGTTCGCCCTGAAATCCAGGTCACCAAACAAACCAAAAGTAAAACATAGTTCGCTCTGTTTTCTGTGACCCCTCTGTGCTTCACACACAAGAAATATTCACAATCACATTGATCAATAATGGCTTGAAAAAAAAAATAAAATCTGTAAAACATCGAATAGAAATATCTACAGGTGGCATTAGAAATGAATAAATAGTTTTATAGATATTAACGTGAAGATACTTCCTCAATTCCTTCAGACCCACACTTTTAAGAGCCAGACAGACTTTTGCAAACTGTTGCTTCTTTACGAGGCAAATGTTATCCATCGTCTTCCTCATGCAGTCTTTAATAAACTCTGAAAAGGTTTGCCCTCGTGAAGGTTTGCCCTCACTGCATCAGCGTGATCTGTCTGAGAGCGTCTCTTTACATTGAATTCCTTACAAACAGCGGCGGCCCTCGTTAGCGACCGATGACAAAACTATCTGTAACTTGAATCAGAATGATTTTGTTGTTCTGTGACAGTGCTGGTGGGTCATAAATGATGCAATCAGTCTCTAATGGCTGTGTCTGTTGGAAATGCAATAAAACAATGAATGACCTGCAATTCTGAATTAGAGACTTTGGTATTTTATAAACTTTTTTTATTTGAAGGTAAGAAATGTCCCTTTTTATAGAAGTGGTTTATTTGTCGTAGCTCATGTATCTGGATACGTATTGACGTCACTCACTAACACACACACACTTGTATTTGCACATATATTTGTTGGGCTTTAAACTGTTGAAGCACTAATTCTCTCAGTGCTTGTTTATTACTTTAATGGCAGCTGGTATGATTGATTTCTTGAATATATTTTGGCCAGACGGCGACATTTAAGCTTTTGCATTTAGTCCAAACAGTGACGTCTCCTCCATTTTGTCACATTTTTAGGCTCCATCTCTCATTTAAAACAACTTCCTCTGCAGAGCCTGTGTGATTTCTGTCATTTGTCATGCACGTTTAATGTTTTATCTGCTTTTGTCTATTTTTCGAATCTGTACGCAACATAGAACAGCAAAATCACCACTTGGTAATAAGCTAACGGATGATAACGTGTTCTTATCTTCATGGTAGACAGACATTATTCAGCTGACTTATCTGCTGCTGTGTAGCCGATAAAAGTTTCCAGTTTCACACAAAAGGCCTCCACGTGGTAAATCCCTGTACACACAATGGCTATAATCAAATTAGTCTTCATGCAGGGCTCCTTCACAGTCAGGGATTAAGTCTTAAGACAAAATAACACTCACTGCTGAGGCACTGCAAGTCATTCAGTGAATCACTGTCTTATTGTATGATCCTCTGGGGACAATCCCATTCAGACTGGATGAAAACCCGTCCGCATTATCTGTGACATCACCAGCAAAATGCTTATTTGGACAAAAAGAGGTGAAGCCTGAGTGCAGAAATGGTGTCCAGTCAATCAAACACCAAAATATATACAACACCGCTGTAATCTGTAACATTACTGCATTTAAACGTCTATTAACAGTAGAGCTATGTTGTATATGTAGTTGAGTCGTATACTTCCATTATCCCAGGGGTTAGGGGTTAGGGGCTAGGGTTAGGATTAGGGGTTGGGGTTAGGGGTTGGGTTTAGGGTTAGGGGTTAGGGTTAAGGGTTAAGGGTTGGGGTTAGGGGTTGGGTTTAGGGTTAGGGGTTAGGGTTAAGGGTTGGGGTTAGGGGTTGGGTTTAGGGTTAGGGGTTGGGTTTAGGGGTTAGGGGTTAGGGGTTGGGATTAGGGGTTGGGGGTTAGGGTTAGGGGTTGGGTTTAGGGGTTCAGCGTTGTGGTTGTCTGCCAGAAGCTGTCATACATTGTTTATCCAATCTGAAGCCACATGTTTACCATCCACTGTTTAGATCTTGGTGATCTCATTATCTTCCAATATCAATAATCTAGTATCTTACGTGTCACTGTATTATTGACTTATAATATAATATAAAATATGTCTGCCCTAAAAATGTTAGCAGGCAGACACCATGTTAAAAATACCATGTTCCTATACCGCCATGCTTCTAGATGACTCTTTAAAGTCTGAAGTAAAGGGGTCAGAGGTCGCAGGCCCTCATCCCTCAAAGTTTCTTTAAAATCAAACTGTTCAAATATCAATAAATCAGCATTAGATCAGCCACATACAGTATGTGTGTCATCTACTCTGTGCGTCCTCGGTGCAGCCTCAGATCCCCGCCGGCCAGCGCTAACATGCTAACAACAAGCAAGGTCCCTCTGAGTGGGCTAGCACTGGAAATAACCCTTCCCTCCGGGGCCGCGCTATCATGCTAACAATAGACGTCTGCCCTCGGGGGCGAATGCTATCATGCTAACGAGGTATCTGTCTCTCAGCATTAGCGCTGCCGTCCCACTGGGACGACAGACCGCTCCTTCATCAAAGAGGGCCAGGCAGCAGAGAGTCGACAGATGCTGAGAGCCTTGGGAGTATTTGTAGTTATTTGTGTTTGGGTCAACATCCCGTGATGGAGGTCCAGATGTGCGACCTACAAGAGACCTGCTGTCCTCGTGTAATCAATGAGCTGTGAACTCTTATTTCTGTCTGTCTTCATCTTTATTAGTCAGTTCCTATTTCTATCCTCATAAATTGTCTAATATAGAAACAGTCTACTATATTTATATCAGTATATACATGATATAACATCTTGGAAGCTAACAGTCGCTAACAGTAATGGTAGATACCGTTAGCTATTAGCTGACCCACCCTCCATACTTCGTCCCCTGTCATCAAACGGTCCTCTGGTTTCTGTTTCATTTCTATTTCCATCACTACGATCAATATCTACATTGTCTTTATCCAAAAAACATCTGCAGAGATCTCTAATTAGCAAAGATTCACAACACTTAATGGATCTCAATAAAATGTATTTAATCTGGTAAAATAATTCATATTAATAATTTCTCTCAATCTTCTCATATTTTTATCCGTTTCTCTTTTTAAAGTATGATTATATTTATAAGGTATCTTCAAACCTCTCCTGCACATTTCTCGTAGCAGTGACTAGTCGATTTCATGTGAAGTAAACTTTTACTTATTTCCCCTCAGCAGTCCGAGCAATCAGCTGAATCTTTACTCATAGAAGACCTAATTTAAAAGTTTGATCCGACTTTCTGGAGGCGGGAGTTGCACTGCAGGTGTTTCGGTTTAACAAGCGGCCGTGTTAACTGGTGACTTTCAGCTGAATGCATCAGTGGTTACTCACAGTGATGGCAGCTGTTGGAAACACAGCGCTTCAGTTCGGTGTATATTCCTCCGGTTCTTTATCTCTTAAATTAAACTGCCAACAAGAAGAATTCACCTGTCTGGAAGTTATTTTTAATGTGGGGAAACATACAGATTAGCAGGCAGTTTATGAGGAATCTGACACTATTAAACAGGTGAGTTTCCCACATTATAAGAACGTTATGAGCAATGTTGTTGTTGTTGTTGTTGTAATCGTGGAGGAAACAAGTAAAACTGGATTTCGTCGTAAGTCTAAAGTTTGGGGAGAATAATTACTGTTGGCAAGGAGTAAAAACTTTACTCTTCACTTTTGAAAGGAGCACAGAGTAATACATTTAGTTCAGTACACCAGCCCAAAGCTGGTTATGAGAGGTGAAATTAACTTAGGTAAGTGTTTAACGTAGATATTAAACAGAGTGTGTATGTAAAATTGATTAACTTTGACTTTACACTCGCTTTGTCCAACATAGGAGCAGAATAAAACCAGCTATGATCATCCAGTTGGCTGAGATATCACTATATTATGGACCATATGTGGCTGCCAGATTGGGCTGTCAGTGTAATGACTTGTTCAAATTCAAAATTTACAGTCTATAAGCGTAACACACAGTTTGAAGGAGTTTGATCTAGCAGAGGAGCTTTGACCCGCTGACCTCTCAGTAAGCTAAACGTTATGTTGTTTACTATGAAAATGGAGGACTGTAGCGAGCAGAAGCACGAATCAAAGCCGTCCTGAACCGACAACCGCAACACCAAATCATCTGAAAAGCTTCTGTCGACAAATCTCACTCACTATTCAGCACAGTCAGCCTCAGCAGGCCACTCGCCATAAGCTCAGCTAAACGCCGATGCTGCGCTGCGCGTTGGACGGTTCTGGCCTCCCAGTAACTCCTGATAATGGACACCTCGTTAGGCATCATGCCTTACACATCATCCATCGTTAAAGTCCACCAGTATTTGTTTTAATGAAGTTATTTATCCGGTCCGACATTTCTGTGATGTTACACTGTGTTGAAATAAATAAACTAAATCAGTGGTCCCCAACCTGAGGGACACTAGGGGTCGCCAAAGCTTCATGGAGGGTCACAAGGTCTTCTTGGTTTTCAGGCTTGCTAGTATAAAAATATAGA